AGCACTGAGCAGCACAGCAGCGCTACCCCAGGCAGGTACTCCAGGGAGAGGAATGCTAGGAATAATCTCCACAAATTTGGGGAAAGGGGAGCTGCAGCATTTTCTCTGAGTGAACGGAAAATAGGTCTGTCCCAAACCTGCCCCAGTGTCCAAGGCTGGTGACAGGGAAACAGACGTGGGCCATCTACATGGTGGAACTTTACTTGGCCATAAAAATGAACAGATCTCTGACACACAAGCCCAGGCAGCGGGCATCAGGTCAGAGTGCTCGTCATCACTTCATTGGGTGACTTGGTCTCAACATGACCCTCAAACACCAAGGCAGGGCAGTTAGCAATGCTCTGCACGCTGGACACTGCTGTTCCTTTAAGAGCATGGCTATGATGACCTCATGCCTGCTCTGGACCAGCCAACTGTGCGAAGACACAGGGCTGTGCCTGTCTAAGCTTCAGCCTGCACATCTGCAGGAGGAAACAGGGCCAGCCTTGCAAGGCCCACGTGAGGCTCCAGGCAGATGGCACATTGTGCCCTGTGCTTAGTACTCACGTTGGCTGTGCTTCAGTAGACATGGAATGACCACTGATCACAGTGCGGGGGGTTCACAGCCAGTGCAAGAATCAGTGTTGAAACCAGATCCTCAGGTCCCAAAGCCCCTACATTTTCAACTCTGACAAACCCAAAAGTCCCAGACTTGGGTGCTTTGTCTGGGGCACTCCAGGGAGGGAAGACAGTGTGGGCACACCAGGAACACACAGTAGGGCATGCCCCAGAGGAAGTGATGTTCTATGTCCTGATAGCAAGAGGACCCTTCATTGGTCCCCAAGCCTGGCCTGGTCACTACACAAAATGCATAATCAGATGGAGCCTGCCAGAGAGTGCAGCAGTGACTCGGGCTGGCCTTCCATGATCACCAGGCCCACCTCATGGGCAGGCCACGGAGGCAGTGGGCAGAACCAGGGCTGGGAGTTAGGAGACTGGCATGGCCTGCAATCAAATCCTGCCATGAACTCACTGTGTAACCCCTGACTGAGCTATTCCCACCTCTGGACTTCAGTGCCCTCATCTATAATTGGGGCCATGTGAAAAGAACAGTATTCCTCAAACTGCAAGGACTGTGTTATTACTTGAGTACTTAATTATAATTACTATTTTCATCAAAATCAACTATTAAACACATAGAAAGGAACTTTATATCACCACTGGGTGGAAGAACCACTATCACTTGCCTTTAAAGAAGATTGTTACCAAGTCAGATAATGCACACCTGTAATTCCAGCACTCTGGAGGCTGAGGCAGGAGGACTGCAGAGTTCAAGGCCAGCCTGGGACATAGCAAGCTCCAGGGCAGCCTAGGCTACACAGTGAGACCCTGTCTCAAAAAGTAAAACCAAAAAGAAAAAAAAAAAATGCAGACAAGTAAGTACTAACAAGTATGTGGAGGAAATAATCCCTAGCTTACACTGCTATAGAAACAAACATAAAATAACACAGTTATTAACAAACTATTAAAAGAAAACAGTTTGGAAGTCTCTCAAAAGACTAAACATAAAAACACCATGTGGGGCTGGTAGAGTGGCTCAAGTGGTAGAGCACCTGCCTATCAAGCATGAGGCCCTGAGTTCAAACCCCAGTACTGCCAAGAAAATAAAATAAAATATGTGTGACCCAGGAATCCCACTCTTAGACATAAAGCTAGGAGAAATGAGAACACAAAAAGTTATACCTGAGTGTTCATACCAGCATTATTCATTAGCCAAGAAGTGGACAGAACCCAAGTAGTCGTTTACTGGTGAGAAGATATACAAAATGGACTATAACCATGCCTGAAGTGTAGACACATGCTACAATATAGAGGAACCACAAGCACAGTCCACTAGCAAAAGAAGGCATACACACACAAGAAGCCTATATGATCACGTGACTCCATTTATAGGAGAAGGCAAAATTTAAAGACAGATCAGTGACAGGCTGGTGGTGGGGGTGGGAAACAGAGACTGACTACAAACAGACACAAAGAAATTTTGGAGAGAGAAATGTCTAAATTGATTGTGGTGGCAGTTGCACAATTCTACAAATTTCCTGGAAACTGGTTATCTACAATGGATGAGCTGTATGACACAAAAATACCTCAGAAGGTTAACTAATTTTCCCAATATCTCAAAAAAAAATTATACCTCAGTAAAGCTATCAAGAGAAAAATAAATACAATGGAGACAAAGCAAATGTTACTCAATTCAAGCTAAGCACTGTTGTGGGATATGCTGAAAGAAAACTGGGCTAGGTGTAGTTAGTGGCTCTAATCCTAGCTGCTTGGGAGGCAGAGATCAGGAGGATCATGGTTTGAGGCCAGCCCAGACCAAAAAAGTTAACGTTTATAGGTCTCAACCAATACAAGCTGGACATGCTGGCATGCACCTGTCATCCCAGCTACTTGTAAGCACAAATACAAGGACCGAGGTCAGGTCACCCGACACAGAGCAAGACCCCCGTCTCAGAAAACCAAAGCAAAAAGGCTGGAGGCATGGCTGAAAGGCAAGCATAAGGCCCTGAGTTCAAACCCCAGTACAAACACCCAAACACCCAACACACACACACACACACACACACACACACCCCACACAAAAGAAAATTGGACAGTATTAGAAAAATGTTTTTTTTAAAAATTAGCATCCAAAGATTCCTTCTTTACATAATTAACAAAATTGAGAGACCCAAAAAAACAACTTTCTCATGGAGCTGAATGGCCCATAGGGAACCCCCCCCCCTTTCAAATTACCCGCAATGTTTCTGCAATGGCCAGGTCACCCTGCTAAGGCCCTTCTGCCTGTAACTGACCCTCCTGACCTTTAGGAAGCTAGTGGAGCAGGAGGCCTAGCACTAGGATTTTGAGGCCCCCATGCTGGGTGAAGGACCAGGAGGATGAGGAAGAAGAAGGGAAACAATGTTAGCTGGAGGCTGGAGACACAGTTCAGTAATGAAGTGCAAGTGTGTCCTGCAAGAGTCTCTCCACCTATCCCCAGCACAATGCCACCTTTGGACTGGCCACTGCAATCTATACACTGGCGGCACACCCCAGGTGGCCAATGGGCAGTGACAGCACCAACTGATTAGTGGCAGCTAGCTGGGGTGCTCTCCAGGCTCAGAAGAGGAGTGTCGTGAGCAACTGGCAATGCGTGTCCCAGTGCAATGTGAAAGCAGTGGCGTGTGCACGGACTTGTGCAGTACAACTGCTCAAGTGAAGGGACATTAAGAGCACTTGGGACCTAGTGTTGCATATGCCACAGGAAGCCTTCTGGTATCTTTGTGCAGCTGCTAACTGCTATCAAGAGTCTAGGCCAGTTACCTAGTTTCCTTTGTGAGCAATGATAGCAGCTAACATTTGCCAAGGATTTCTTATAAGCCAGGCAGAGTTCTTAGCACTGCACGAGTTATCAGCCCATTTTACAGATGAGGAAACTGAGATCCAAAAGGTCAAGTAACTTGACCGAGGTCACTCAACCAAAGACAAGCAGAAAGAACATCAGGAAGAGGATGACTATTCTTTTAGATCTGGGGTGTGAGCCCTCAGACTCTAGGGAAACACCAGAGCCTACAGCCCCACACCTGGCCAGGGTGCCCTGCCACTATGGCTGGGATACAAGCAGGTATGAGATCTCCTGCAATGTAGGCAACAGTGCTTTCTGACCAACTCCAGCCCCTTCCAACTGCCTCAAGATGGTGTCGGCTTCCTGCCCTAGCATCCGGGAGCCCCAGCCCCTCACCTTCTTTCAGGCAGAGTAAAGCACTTTCTCAAAGTTCAGTGGTGCCAGGCACTGGTGCTCACACATGTAATCCTAGCTACTCAGGAGGCAGAGATCAAGAGGACTGTAGTTCAAAGCCTGCCCAGGGAAAAAGTTTGAGAGAAACTATCTCAAAAAAACCCATCACAAAAAAGGGCTGGTGGACTGGCTCAAGATGGAGGCCCTGAGGTCAAACCCCAGTATCCCACACACACACAAAAAAAGTTGAGTGGCACCAGACTCACCTGGGGAATGGGTTTAAATTCAGGTTTCTAGGCCCAGGGCCTGAAGCAGGGCCTGGGATTGTTTAACAAGCTGCCCCACTTGTGGGGCAGGTGGTCCTGGCTCACAAAAGAAATCTGGCCTAGTGGAGGTTCAAAGACACCTGGACACAGCATCATCAGATGAGACACTCAGAAACCAGTATGACACTCAGAATCCACATCTGGATGCCCCATAACGTAGGAGATTCTCTTCTCTACACTACAAATGGCCCCAGCAGAAGATAGTGTGCAAACAGAGCTTAGAAGTTCAGTCTGGCCGTGTGTACCAACAGAGACAGCAGAGTGGGAACAAGAATGAGAGCCCCACGCCTGTTTTAGGTCCCAGCTGTGCCTCCATCCAGCTCTGAGACTTTGGGAACGTCACTTCTTCCTCCCTGGTAGTGCAGGTCCCCCGCCCTAAATCAAAAGGGAGAACCCAGACATTCTCCTGGTCTCCAGCTTGGCTGAAGGCCAGTTCTCTCGGCAGGACCCCAGTCCCTCCTCATCAACCATAATCACGTCCCTGGGCCCGGCATCAGTGCCCCCAACCCGCACATCAGGAAGAATAAGCCTTGGTCCAGATCCGCTGCAAAATGTCCAGAACAGGGGAGGGAGGAGGGGGAGGGTCTTCCCACCACGCCTCCAAAACAGCGAACCCCGACCTCAGTGTTAAGGCAATGTTCACGACAATGAACGCTCTATTACCACAAGCGATGCGGCAGGCCCTTCAGAGGCCGCGCGAAGTGACTGGCCCAAGGTCACCACTCGGGAAGGGCCGCGCCCGTTCCATCTCCGACCAGTCCCACCTGGGGCCCCAGCCAAGTCTCGGGCTCGCGAACAGATGGGCGCGGGGTTTCGACAGGAGCGCGGCAGGGAGGGTCCGCGGCTGCACAGGTGTCCGCTTCTTTCCGTCCCGCTCCTGTCGGTACCGCGCCCCGCGCCCGCATCCGGACACTCACCGGACTTCGGGGGATAGCGATAGGCCGAGTTCGCCTGAATGTCGATGTCCTCCACCCCCGCGATGCGGCGGCTCAGGATAGAGCCCATGGTGCGCGGCGTAGCCGGCCGAGCCGGGACAGGGATGGGAGGGGGACAGCGGCGGCGCCCTATTCACGCAGACATGACCCAGACCAGGCCGCACGGACGCGCGTCCACAGCCGCAGCTGCGTCTCGCCCTAGCCTCCGCCCCCGGTCTGCACGGACCGGACGCCGCGGCGCCCCGCCCCGGCCCGCAGCTTCCTGGGAAATGAAGTCCGCTTGGGCAGAAAGCTCCGGGCTTGGGTGCCAAGAGCGCACCTGAGCACTACGTCTCCCAGAATGCATCGCGCGCGAGAGGCCAGACTGGGACAAACCAAGAGACCCAGACGGAGGGGACAGCACTCTGGCCACGCGAAGATGGACCTTTCTTTCGCGGCCCCAGCTCCGGGCTGACCCCGGAACTCTCAGTCCGTTCATAATATGTTCGTATAGAGACCCTTCTAGGGAGGCAGCGCTTTCTATTTGTCCCCATCCTAAAATCTCTCTCTGAGCCACCGTGGGTGACTCCCCTCTTTTCCAAGGTTCATCTCACGCCCTGGCCGGCAGAGGGCACACCTTTACCTGCCTCCCAGAAATTGCTGGGTGGCCCCAAGCCTAGGTGGGGCGGTGCTCACACAGGAAGCAAGCTCCTGCTTGGATCTTTGTCAGGAGATCCTGGAAATGCAAATGAACAAGATGAGGAACTTGTGTGACTATGAGGAAAGTTCAGGTCTTAAGAGTACTTTTTTTTTTTTTTTTAAGCTGTTTTGAGATGGGGTGCCCCTGAGTAGCCCAAGCTGGCTGGAATTCAAGATCTTCCTGCTTCAGCCTGCCAAGTGCTGGGATTATAGATGTAAATTACACACCCAAGAATTTTACCGAGCGCTTATTTGTCCATAATCTTGCTGAGGGCCTTGCACATATTTTCTCACTTAGTTCTCTACTGTTAAGTTCTCTTTTTTTTTTTCTTGTTTTTATTTATTTATTTTTAACAGTACTGGGGATTGAACCCAGTGCATGCTTAGCAAGCACTCTACCACTTGAGCTATCCCTCCAGCCAATAAGATCTGTATTTTCATTCCCAAATTACAGAAGAGGAAAGTGAGGCTTGGTAGAAATAGCCCTACTCTGCTTGCACAATAAATTGTAAAGCTATTTACTATTACCTTAGCACTCCCTCTCCTCTCCAGAGACAGAAATGTACCAATGTGCCAGATGTGAAGTCTCCTGCCCCAGGATGGATGAGGCGAAAGCTATTACCACCCAGTGTGATCTTTAAAAAAAAAAAATCGTTTCCATTGAGTCACATAACACACTTACATATGCATACATACATGTATCCGTGCTGTATTCAATTTACTGTCCTTCTTGACCATGGGGGGGTGGAATCCTGAGGACCCTGCAATTCCAACTGAAAAACAGCGTAAGAGTACATCCTCCCTGTGGAGCTTGAGCAAGGGCAGGCATGTCACTTACTAAACCTTTAACTTTTTTTTTTTGATGGGACTGAGGTTTGAACGCAGGGATTCATGCTTGCTAGGCAGTCACTCTACCACTTCACCCATGCCTCCAGTCCATTTTGCTTTGGTTATTTTAGACATGGGGTCATCAGAACTATTTACCCAGGCTGGCCTCACAGCAATCAACCTGATCTCAGCCTCCAAAATAGCAAGGATTATAGGTGTGAACCACCGGCATCTGGCTGTTTAAACATTCTTCTTAAACGTTTGAAGCTTTGAACTTGAGGTGTCTCAAAGCTTCTCCAGCAATATTTTTCTGTGCTTATCTACACTCATCTGGGGAGACAGGCCTTTCCTGATTTGGTCCAGATTCCACTATCAACATCTTGCATGATTCATTTATTTATTCACCAAATATTATGTAGCTACTATGTGTCAGGTGATGAGTTAAACAGAAGGAATAAAATGGTGGAACATGCTAGACATGGAGCCTGCAGGCTAGTTTGGAAACAAGACATCCTCCATTGACTGGCCTCCTGAACTTTGGCAGGCACCTCAACCTCCCTGGCCCCAGGTAAGAAAAGAGTGCAGTGAAAATGCCTTCTCTCCTCCCTCGACCCACCTCGGGCTCTTAACTGTCAGCTGGTCCCACTCTGCTAAGAAATCCAAAGTCCACCCTCCTGCAGGCTCATCCTGGCTGAAAACAAGGTTGTTTTTTCCTTCCCTGCCACCCCTAGGAAAACAAACTGGCTGAGGTGGAAGGAAGCAGAGTGACCTCCACCCCTGCAAGGGCAAACTAGAAGAGCTCCTTCGGGGCTGAGCAAGCCACCGAATCTGAATGCCAGATTGTACAGCCAGAATCCTAAGGCTACCCAGAAGTGATCCAGATGGAGGCAAAGGGGTGAGAGCTAGAACTGCCATCAGCAGGTCCTGTGCTGTGCCCCTCACAGTCATTAATCCCTGCACAACGGTGGTGGCAGAGTGTAGCACTCCATATAAGAAGAAACTGGGTAAGCTCAGCGTCAACCCTGACACCCGGGTCTATCTGGCTCCCAAACCTGCCCACCTTCTGCCACACTTTGTTGCACTCCCCCTGGCAACAATGGTATTGGATATCATATTCGCTGTCTCTTACTGTGGTCTTCTCTGTGCTGAGTGCTTTGCCCACATTAACTCAGGCACATAATACTTTGCAGAGATAAGGACAAGCAAGATAAATTTAAATGCACACACACACACACACTCTCTCTCTCTCTCTCTCTCTCTCTCTCTCTCTCTCTCTCTCTCTCTCTACCATCAGGGTATACAATACAAAATTAGGGCCCTGAGTAATTCCCACGCAGCAGGAAAGTGGCTGAAACCCCATGTCCTCTGGGCAGATGGCTTCTACCAGGGCTAAGATGCCTGTCTAGAGAAGCTCCCCTCCCTTTCCATGGACCAAGCTCTCAGCTCTAGCCCTCAGAAGTCTTACTTTTACCTCCCCAACTCTTTGAGCTGAGTTCTTCAGCATCCCTACCCACATTAGGACTCTTCCCCATAGGAAGTCCCCATAGGACTCTTCAGTCCCCGATTATCCTCCTCCCAACAAGCCAGTGAAAACGCCTAGGACTGAGGGACCCACGTAAGGCTTCCCAGAAATCGCCACCATCGCGACCACAGTGATTTTTAATACGGAACAAGGGATGAGATCCATTAAAACCTTCCCACGGTCATTAGCCCACTTCCAGGGCCTAGCTGGCTCCCTTAGAACATCTTCCACTTTAGGAAGGCTGCATTTGTCCTTGAGATTTCTGATACACGCCCACCTACCCCCTTCCTCCCCGGGGGGCCAGGTCAGAGCCAAGCGCAGAGGTAGGGCTCGACAGCTCAATGAAACGGGAGCCACGGAGCGCAAAGAACCAGGTCAAGGTCACTCAGTAGGAGGCCAGCACCAGGCCTAGCCACAGCCTCCCCTCGGTGACTACTCGCGCTCCCAGGCAGCGAACACACAGCTCGGTCGCTCTCCCACCCACGACGTCAACCGGAAGCGGCATGTGCTGGGCTGTAAACACTGCCCGCAACGCCCCACCCCCGCTCCCGGTCCCGCCCCCACCGCCACGTGATGCGCCCCCGCCCGCCCCCACCGCCGCCTCATTGGACTACCAGCTTTGTTTACCTTATATGGCCAGGTCCTAACACCCTGCGGCCGCCCATTGGTCGAGGTTCGACCTCACTCAGCTGACGACACTCGCGGCAGAAAGATGCAAATAAACCAGAGCATTCTGGGAATGAGAGTCCGGGGCCCGCTCCGGAACTGGCTCCTCAGGGTCCTGGTGTCCGCTCCCCCTAACTGATTTTGCGTGGGAAACTGGCACTGCAGGGAGGAGAAATAAGGTGACAGTGTCTACTGGCTTTGCCAGTCTGTCCCTTCGCCAGACGCTCTTCGGGTGTAGCAGTTCGAGAGCCAGGCAGAGAAGGGCGATACGAGCGTACGGTCCTGGAGGCAGTGACTTGGAGCGAGCGCCTAGAAAGGGAGACTGGTTCACCGAACTGTGTATTTGTTGTCTGTGTGCCAGACCTTCGAGACCTTGCGGCCTAGGGCCAAAATTCCTGAGCCCCCCCCCCCCACAAACACACTCTAATAGGAATCTAACACGGGTTCAGGGGCCTAGTGTCGCGGCATTTGCGCCCACGGACACCTCCGAAGCCTCTCATCGCTGCTTGGGCCACGAAGGGCAGTGCCTGGCCCGGCACACTTCAGTTAGCCGACACGCCCTCCCCGGCCCCGGCGGCTGCGGCGGCAGCGGGGCGGGGGCGTCGCGGACTACAGGTCCCAGCATGCCCCGCCGGCCGCCGGGCAGCGAGGCGCGGTGAGTCAGAGCGCACAGTAAATATTTGTATTAGCCGGGGCCGGCTCGCTAATGGTGGACGCGTGAGGCGGAGGCGCGAGCGCGCAGGGAGGCCGGAGCGGGCAGCGCGGCGGCACCATGTCCGTGAACATGGACGAACTCAAGCACCAGGTCATGATCAACCAGTTCGTGCTGACGGCGGGCTGTGCGGCCGATCAGGCGAAGCAGCTGCTGCAGGCGGCCCACTGGCAGTTCGAGGTGCGCGCGGGGCCGGGGACGGGCGCGAGCGCTGTGGACACGTGCCGGGGTGCGGGCCATGGGCTCCACCCCACGGCCGGGCCCGGGCTCCAGAAACGCCGCGGCCCCCGCGGTCATGATGGGGACCACCCGCTACCCTCCCCCCCTTTGCCCGGGTAACGGCCGAGGGCGGAGCGGAAGGCCGGAAGGAGGACGCCCGGGCCTGGCGGAGCCGTGTCGGCGGGCGGAGCCGCTCGGAGTGAGCGGTCCGAGGGTCCGTGTGCCCGGTGGGCGGCCCCGGCGTGTGTGCACACGTACATGTGCATTTGTATTTACGCACGCACCGAGCTTCGGCGTCAGCGGGGCACATCGAAGGTGCTGGGCATGTGGGCGCGCGTGCGGTGGTCTGGTGGAGGGTATGCGTGTGTCATGTATGATGAGCACTCAGCGTGTACGCGTGTGGCGGGTCGGAGACCATGGCCCTATCGGGTGCGGTGTGTGTACACACAGCGTGGAGTGTATGGGCGGTGTGCTCAAGCCCCACGCTACGGCGTGGGGATGCGCGTCTGTGTGCCCCGCTCCAAAAGTGTGGTGCCTGCGGGCTCGCGTGTGGGTCCTGCTGCTCCGGGGAGGGTATACACGGTTCACTAGCTTTCAGATCGTCAGGGGAGGAGGTGGGGCTGCCCCAGTCTGCCTCGCTTGACCTATAGGATAGTGGTGCCCGCGCTGTTAGTGCCGCTGTAATGCCGCCCGACCCCCTAATCGTGGCATCAGGGCATGAAGCCACAAACCGTCCCAGGTGTAGGGTAGCAGTCTGAGCCAGTCTGGTAGTGTCGGTGCCCGGCCTGGACCCAAGAAGCTGGTTTCGCAATGGGAGCCATCCCAGGGAAGGTGTTTGGGCCTCCAGAAAGAACCAGGAGCCAGTGTACTCAAGGTCAGCTTCCTGGGGGTGAGGTGGGGAGACAGTGATCCTTGTACTCCGTTTCTTTCCTTGCTAACCACCTTCTACTTCAGGCCTCTGAAGGTCTTCACCCAGGAGAGGAAAGGTTGCTCTCTCTAACCTCAGTTTTCACACCTGTATCTGGGAGCGGAGCTGTGTGAGTCAGCCTGTAAGGGCTGATGGACCGCTCTCTGCCATGTTCCCCCTGCAGGCTCACCTGGAGGGATTGAGGGATCCTCCCGTTCCTCGGCCCTCTCCAACAACCCTAAGCAGCCCTGTCTGTCTCTGGGGCTGGATGTGGCAAAACTTGCGAAACCACATTCATGGCAGTTTGCTGGAACCCCATGCAGGGCTCCCTCTCTCTGTGCCTGGGGCTGGGTAGGCAGGTGTCCCGTGGGAAGTGGACCCTGCATGCAAGACTCTCAGCCCATCCCTCAGACCGGGCACCCAAGCTTCCTCCCTCAGGCAGCACGGGTTGAGTTGAAAAAGTAGTTTTGAAGATTGGGGAAAATGGGTCCAGAAGGGGCAGGAGCATCCTGCAGGGCAAAGGGGCTTCAGTGACTCCCAGGACCCCAAGAGCGGAGCCTTGTTGCCTTTGATTTTGAGTCTGTTTCACCATCTGTAAAATGGAGGACACTGGGTAACAGTGGGGTGTGAACTCCCAAACCTCTGGCCTCTGTCTAGGAGTGTGAGAGGGTTTCTCATGGTTAGCCCATCCCCCTCCATGCACACTTCCCTCCTGGCTGTCAGCATCCAGCAGGCGGGTGTTTCTGGGTCACCTTCTCAGATTCAGGTGCTAATGGGAGCAGAGGCTGCAGGGGGAGGGGACCTCCACTTAGCTGGGCAAGTTCTCAATGGAGAACTCACACCCGGTGGCCTTTGGGGGACTTCTGGGTGTGTCATCTGGGTCTCCTGGGCTGCAGTTTGCAAAATGAGTCTGAGTAAGGGGAACAGCAGGAGAAGCTTGAAGACCAGATCTCATGCCTGGACTCCTACGCTGTGGTCAGGGACACTGGGTAGGGTCTCCAGCAGAAAACTCCTAGAATAACTCTCTTGAATTACACACATATTCCCGAGGGCAAGACCTGGGGGACCAGGCTGGGTTTCTGGGTGTGACCTCAAGTGGGGGAGGGGCCGAGAAGTTGAGCTGGCATTGGGCAGCATAGGCTGGGGGACTGGCCTGAGTTGTGGCAGTGGCTCCAGGGCCTGGGACTTGGCAGAGTCCTGGAGACCCCTCACATACTTGAGAAGCCCCCTTACCCAGCACTTCACAAAAGCAGCTGGTTCCCTCATTTCCAGCAGGGGCTCAATGCAGGACACAAGCAAATGCCAGCACCTCCTCCCTCCCCTGGTCAAGCAGCAGCTCCAGAGGGAGCTCTTCTGGCTCCCCTTTCCCTCCACCCTCCTTGGCCAATCCCCAGGGCTCTGCCTCTGCTTTGTGCTAACGAAGTGACCCTGAGCAAGTCACTTCATCCTCTGTTTCCCTGTCTCTAAAATGAGGATGCAGGTCCCGACCTTTCGTAATGATGGTGATAAGTGCACTGTTCTGATGGAGCCCTGCTCTGAGGGGCAACACCTTGCTCAGTGTGTTAACCACCTGAAGAGAGCCTGTGGGGTACCATGTGCCCAGCATGAGGTCCTGTGGTGGGTTTAGTTAGGTGTGTTCTCTTGCTCGCCACCTAAGGACATTCCTCAGAAGGCACAGGCGAGTGAAGCCCAGACCTTCCTCCCCAGGCTCTCCAGCTGCAGTGTGCTGAAATAAGGAGTTCACTGAACCTGGAAGTCTCCTTTTGATACAGTTGGAGAGGCTGAGACCCAGATCAGGCAGGGCCATGTGGTCAGTCAGAGGCAGAGTTGGGCTGAGAAGCAGGTTCCCTTGGCTCACAAATGAGGAAATTCAGGCTCAGAGAAGCGTCAATGATGACAGAGCAGACCAGGATCTCCTGAACCAAAGGCTAAGGAAGGACTAACTGGGCTAGTTAGGGGCCACACAGCCTTTCCTGTGTGACAGGGTGAGGGCACTCCCTGTTCCCCAAACCACAGTGACTTGGGGGGGTGGGCACAACTCTGCTAGCCAGAGGCAGGAGGCAGACAGTGTTGTGAGGGTGCTCACTATCCACTGACTGAGTTGCTGCCCGTTCCATGGTGCCTCCTGGGACAGCAGTGAGGATTGGGCGGTGACAGCCACACTGCTGGTTTCAGCTGTCTCAGCCTGCCCTGTGCCACTGGGCTGACTGGGCAGGGTCGGGAAGGTGAGCACAGCCTTTCTCCCTGCAGACAGCCCTCAGCGCCTTTTTCCAGGAGACCAACATCCCCTACAGCCACCACCACCACCAGATGGTAAGTGTCCCCTGGAGACCCATAAGTGGCTTGGGTGCGAGAGGGTTGTACACCAGAAGGCTGGCCCTCCTTGATACCAGCCAGTAGGAGTGTGGGCTCGGTGGGTAACCTGAGTTAAGCTGGGCCTGGGAGGTTGGTCTCCTGCTGTACAGTAGATTGGTACCTCTCCTGCTAGAGCCTTCCAGGGATGCTGTGCCAACCAAAGGGGCTGGGAAAACCTGGGGGCCCTGAGCCAGACAGCATGAATCTGCCATCCAGGCCCCCTGGGGAGGCCTAGTCAGTCCATCCCCATGCCTTTCCCTGTGAGCCAGAGCAGCACAGGTGGCTCCCGGTCACTGCTGGGCACATCTCTTCAGAGGAAGCAGAGGCCCGGAGGCCCTCCCACAAAGGGGTGCTCAGCTCTCCCTCTCTCCTTTCTTCCCTCACAGATGTGCACTCCCGCCAACACCCCCGCCACGCCCCCCAACTTCCCTGATGCCCTCACCATGTTCTCGCGGCTCAAGGCTTCTGAGAGCTTCCATGGTGGCGGCAGCGGAAGCCCAATGGCCACGACAGCCACTTCGCCCCCGCCACACTTCCCCCATGCCGCCACCGGGAGCTTCGCAGCACCCAGCTGGCCAGCTGCAGCCTCGCCCCCAGGAGGCCCACAGCACCAACAGCCGCAGCCGCCCCTGTGGACTCCGGCACCCCCTTCCCCAGCTTCAGACTGGCCACCCCTGGCCCCCCAACAGGCCACCTCAGAACCGAGGGCCCATCCTGCCATGGAGGCAGAGAGATAAGGGAGGCCCCTCCCCCCTCCCGGAGGCCAGGTCCCCGTGGGGCGGGGGAGAGGATATCTCCGCGGGCCCCTTCACCCCTCTGTCTGCACCCCTGTGCCCCGGAGCCCTGGAGGGGAGACTGGATCTAGCCAGGCAGGGATCCGTCTTGTGCCAGCATGCACAGCTGCACGCACGCAGCCGCCCGCATGGACTTGGCTCAGAGTGGCTTGGGTGCCTGGAGGACAGCACCTCGGAGACCAGACAGCCATCCCGCGAGGACTTACCCGCCCCGCCCCACCCTTTCCAGGGTTGCTTCGGAGCATCGCCTGGTGGAGATGTGGCTGGCTCCTGGCGTGGAGCGTCCTGGGGCCAGCAGACCTAGACCCCCATCCCGGGAATGCAGAGCCTCCGCATGTGTGCGTGTAGCCGTGTCTGTGTGTGTATACGTCCGTCGCTCTTCAAAAAGCAACCTAGTTTATGGGGCAGCTGGACTTTGCATGTTAGAGTGAGCCCCGAACCCCTTGCCCGCCGGCCCCTCTGCCCAGAGCCCTGCTCCCACCCCACGCCCTTGTCAGCCAGCATTGCTGTTCCTTGCAGAGAATAGGATTATGGGAAACTCCAGGACTCTTCGCGCCCTCTCCCAGCGCGTCTTGCTGGGACTGCCTGCATGCCACCCCCAGAGCCCAGGGGTACCCAATCCCCACTCCGTTCCCGCCTTTTAACAAAGAGAAGAAAGAGTTCCAAACCACCACCAGGCTCTGTGGTCTTGCCTCATGTCCTGGGCTCTGCGGCCAGCTGCCTGTGTGGAGGACAAGCCACCCACTGGGCTCCATGCTGCTCCTGCCTCTTGCCATCCTTGCAACCACAACGCGCTCTAGAATCTTCCTACCCACCTAAGACTTTCAAACTGTGACATTATTTTTCTGGACTGTTCCCAGAATCCCACCCTTTCTGTCACCCTTGCTGCTGCTAAGCTGGACAGATCTCAGCCCCAGTTTTGAATAAGTAGGACTAACAACTGCCTCCATCCTTGGCTTCACAGAGGACCTTTCTTCTTGGACCTCTAAACCCAGATCTAAATGCCTGTATAGCAGGGGAGAGAGAGTGAGGCAGGATGCTACAGGAGGGCATCTCTGACCTCTTGAGTCTTCACTCTGGGATGGAAGAAAATTCTCAGGGAACTTCACTTCCACTCCCGGAAGTGGTAGGAAAAAGCTTTGCAGAGAGAAGTGTTATGGTTGTGGGTATCTGGACCATCTCTGGCCAGATTGCGGAGGTGGCTGTGTCAGCCATATAGGAGATGGCATGTGGTCTCAACTGTACAGTGGGAGACTGGGGAGCACTGGTTCTTAAATCCCTATGTGGCCTGTAATGGACCATACCCTTACTAAAAGTGGGGTTGGAGAGAGATGTAGGGCCCCCGAGCCAGAATCTGAGTCTAACAGGAGCCCGTGGCACCAAAAGGTCACTGAAGTGACTTCTTATGAAGTACCCTCCAGCTAGGTACCTGTGGTTCATGCCTGTTACCTTAGCTATTTGGGAGGCTGAGATCTAGAAGAACAAGGTTCAAGGTCAGCCCAGGCAAACAGTTCTCAAGATCCCATCTCCAAAATAAAGTAAAATGGGCTGGAGGTGTGGCTCAAACCAGAATGTCTGCTTTGCAGCATGAAGTCCTGAATTCAAACCCCAGTCCCACCAAAAAAATTTCCCTCCAGAACATTAAGTGCTGCAGCCAGTACTGGGCCTGGGGATTTTGGGTGGCTACATTACAGCAGAGGGCACTTTTGGTTCCTGTAGGGCCAGCCTTTCCCGCCTCAGTGGTAACATCTGGGACTGGGTAGTCCCTGCAGTGGGGACTGCCTTGCACACTGTGGGGTGTCCAGGAGCAACCCCAGTGGTGGTGATCAAAGCTTTGCAGATACTACTGACATCCACTAGGAATAGTGTCCCCATTGGAGGTCCCCTCCCCAGTCTTGGGGTTCTCATACCTGCTTGCATAGCCCAGCAGACCTGAGGTTCCTGCCCTCCCCTCCAAGTTCCTCCCCCACATCTGGTGAGAGACTGTCAGATGGTAACAGTGATCCATCTGCCTCTGCTTAAAGCCGTTCAATTTACACTTGAAAAGGTGAGTTTTATGGTGTGATGGTTGTACCTCAAAGTTGTTGCTAAAAATAAAATAGCTCCCAGGTGATTGTGAGCAGCTGCCTGACCCACCAGATTCTGGATCCCCAAATTGAGAGCATGAGGGTCCCTTGGGTGCTTGTTAAACACCCAACATGTCTTGAAGGAGGGCCCTAGACAGATTTTCAGTAATGTCCCAGGTAATGTTAGAACAGCTGGCAGGGCAGGGTGAGAACTGGGGCTGGTGTTTCCAAGCAATGTGGAGACCCTGTCTGGTGTGCTTCCAGGCCTGGCCTGAGTATCATAGACAAGGAAGAGCTGCAAGAGTGAGCCGGGATTGACTCCAGGGAACCAGAAGTGGCCCACAAAGTAGATACCGCATGCCCCAGAACTTGGAGCCTTCTATGGCGTAACCCAACCCTAGAAGTTGAGGCACAAAACTGAAAGGCCAGAGACAACCCATGTTAAATAGGCTGACTAAAGAGCAGACGGCTGCTGGGCACCAGTGGCCCATTTCTGTAATCCTGGCTACTTGGGAGGTTGAGACCAGGATGATGGTGGGTCAAGGCCAGCCTGGGCAAATAGTTAACAAGACCCCATCTCCAAAATAACCAGAGTGAAGTGGACTGGAGGTGTGGCTCAGGTGGTAGAGTGCCTGCTTTGCCAGCATGAAGCCCTGAGTTCAAACCCCAGTTCCACCAAAAAAAACCCAAAAAGCAGATGGCTAAAGTTCTGGCAGAACAGCCTCAATTGCGGGCTGCCCTTGGCTATGCTTCATCCTGAGCACTGCCCGGGAGTTGCTTGGGCACAGGAATACCAGCCTTCTTGCTGTGAAGCCCACTGTCTCAGAGCTGGTCACTTGCTTACTAGACTGGAGCTCTAACTGGCTTCCGAGAATTCCACTGACAAACACCTCTTGCAGCCATGACATTGCCCAGTGTGCTTAAAGCTGTGTGTGTGATTCTCGGAGAGGACGTAGAAAAGAAGGCCTGCCCTCTGTGTGACCAGGCTGTGCCTTTTCTGTCTGCTGTGGTGGGGCCCTTACCTCGGGGGCTTGCAAGCCCCTATGTCCTCCAGTGTGCTGCGAGATTCACACAAAGTGTTGCACATTTTGTTAAATGTTGCCCAACATTTTAACATCAGAAGGGTTTGTGTGAAAAGCCTGCTTATCTTGAAAAACTGGGACAGTTGGCCCAGATGACGTTAAGGCCCCCAGTAGCTGGAGCTGACAGTCATGCTGGGGACTTGACCCCTGCTGGGCTTGCCCCTTCAGTTCACTGGTTGCATGACAGTCATTTCCAACTGCTGTCTCAGAATGAGCGGGAAACTCGAGATACCTCTCTTTTCACCCAGAGCAGCTGCAGGAGAAAATACGCCTGCTTGGTGTGGTGGAGAGGCACTAGGTCCCATGACAGGACATACAGCTGCTTTTTGTGGCAGGCAGGGCCCCTCAGCCTTAAGGAAGGGCTTGTTCTCCTGTGAGACTCTTGGACTAGGGGCCGCGCCCAGGGCTGCTGAGTGCCCACAGGGTCCCAGCCAGAGTTCTCTGAGAACACACTGTGGCCAGCCCTGAAAACCAAGCTGTCCCTGAGGCTGACTGTGGCCCTGGAGTTGTCTGAGGGACTCTTCACAGCAGCCTCACTCAGCAGAGGACAGATAAGTCCTTTGACTAAGTGTGCCTCCCAATGTGGGGAGACCTGTGTTAACCAAGACGTAGGGCCTTGTCCAACTCCTGCATTTGAAAAGGGCCAGTTCATGGATTTCAAATAAGTCTTAAAAGAACATGCTATGTGACTGGGCATGGTGGTGCACAGCTGTAATCCCAGCTATGACAGAAGCAGAGGTAGGAGGATTGCAATACAAGGCCAGACCTGAGCAAAAGCATAAGACCCTATCTGAAAAATAACTAAAGCAGGCAGGCCAGGTGTCGGTGGCTCACACCTGTAATCCTAGCTACTCAGGAGGCCGAGATCAGGAGGATCATGGTTTAAAGCCAGCCCTAGGCAAATAGCTCAAGAGACCCTCCCTATCTCAAAAAAAAAAAAAAAAAAAAACACACAAAAAAGGACTGGCTGAGTGGTTCAAGAGGTAAGAGTGCCTGCCTAACAAGGTGAGGCCCTGAGTTCAAACCCCATACTGCAGATAAAAAAGAAAAAACAAAAACTCTTTGGGGATGGGAGAGTGCTGAGTCCCCCTGGGGTGGGCAGAGATGGGACAAGTTCAAGAAGGCCCAGGTTTGTCTTTGGCACAGTAGAAGGCACTGGGGAGCCTGTGACAAAATCCTGCTCGTCTCACCACTCAGAGATTAACAAAGCTGCAGACATCGTGGGTCATTTGATCCTGAGGAAACCACCAGAAAGGAGAGCCTCTCCACATAACTGCCTACAGCCCAAATCCATGAAAACTCAGAGGTCCCACCAGTCAAGATGGTGTGCCAGGGGCCCAGCATACCCCAAAAGGCTTTCCTTCTGAACTTCCCCCCTTCCAGCTGCAGCCTCAGGCACCCGGGGTGCATCTGCAGGGCGGATCATCTTGCCTGGAGCGCACATTTGCTGTCGTCATTAGTTTCTATCTTAGGTTAATGAGTTTGTGGTCTTAGACAGAAAAATGTTCAGCGACCTTTGCTTGCTCGAAGCAGAGTGTGTTGGGCTGAGCTGGGCTTGGCAGTGTGGGGTGGTCACTGAGTAATAACAGCTCTGCCAAAGGCATCCTCCTCCCCTAGCCACTCAGCTACTCAGCGCATTTGTGCAACCCCTCCAGCCTTCCTCCACACTGGACCAGTGCACCTCAGTCTTAAAGTCTGTGTCCTGGGCAGACACAGGACCTCCTCACTCCTGGGCACACCAGAACCATTGCTCATCCTACCCACAGTCCAGCCTGGACTTGCAGCTACATCCTAGGCCAGGCCCTGCCTTCTGACATGGAGTTCCACTGCTTCCTAGTGTCTTTCCCTGTTGTGACAGGGTAGATCATGCACCCTGCTGAGGAAGGTGCCCAGGGTAAATGGAGGAGGGCCCTGGGTTGATGCTCTCTTTCCCCCTCCCCAAAAGGCGTGCAGCTCCCCTAGCCCCCACCCCTGGGGACAGTGCTGTTTTGGGATTGATCCTCCTAGCTGAAAGTCCCCATTTTTCAAGCACCAGGAAAGCCTGCTCAATGCAGCCCTGACACATTGACCTGCGGGGGGCTGGGGGGGGAGCGGGTCTCTCCTTGCTTCCTGGGCTGTAGGAACCAACTTAAACCCTGATTTCTCAGGTTTGCAAACCTGTGAAGTGGACCCAGAAGGCAGCTTTGAAGGGACAGGGTAGGAAGAGACCGGGAGAGCAAGTGCCTGACCCTGAGGACCAGGGAGAGTCCCTGTGTGCCCACATGCAGGGGATGCAGCACAAGGACAATCTGACCTGAACATCCATCATGCTGTCCCCACCCCACACCCCCCCCCCACCTGCCCTGGGACACGGCACCCAATTGGTGTGACTTCCTGGGCAAGACCAGAGAACTGGGACCTTGCTATATGATCCTGGGTCTGTCCAGATCCCTGCCTGCCCACCAGCAGCTCAGGGTACATGACTGCCTTGGGAAATGTGACAGAAGAGGAAGGTCTGTCATGGCCTCTGCTGACCCAGCCTGGGTGGTTCTGGGCAGGGGCACTGGGAGGCTGAGCTTGGGGGTAGCAGCCAGAGGACAGACTAGCAAGTCTCCCTCCCACATGGAGAAGGCAAGGCCACCCTCTGTAGGGGGTACTGGGTCCATAGGCCCCTCATCTGTGTTCAGAAAGGAGGAAGACTTTATTCTGGCCACAAGTTGGCAACAAAACTCAAATGTGCACAGGGCAGGGGTGGGCTGGGGCTGCGCCAGCCAGGGCCCCTGGGAATGGCCTACAGAGGTGAGTCGCTGGGTCAGGAAGAGCTTGGCCTTATTTGGACACAGTCCTTGGAGAAAGAAAAGATGAGTCAGGCTAGAGGTGGTCTCAGGTAAGGAGGGGCCATGGGTACCATTAGAGACAGGCAGGCATGCGGCATCTCCAGACACTGATGGCCTCCTCCACCCCAACCCCTGGCAACCTTGGAGTCCCCATCCTCCCCACTCCCTCCAGCTCGCTCCTGGGCAGTGCTTCCCGCCAGCCCCCAACTCCCCCTTCAGCTCAAGGACCTAGTGGCCCCTGGGTGGGCCACAAATCTGCACACAGGGCAGTTGTTTTCATGCCTGTGAAAGGGGCAGAATGGTCAGCAGGAGAAAAAGGACACAGGGAAAACCGGACATCAAGGCAGTGAGAAGGCAAGAGAGAGACAGTGACAGGCATTAGGTAGTACAGGTGGGACTGTAAACCACTGGAAGAGGAAGGAATAAAGCTAGAAGGTCAGTCGGGTGCTGGTGGCTCTCGCCTGTAGTCCTAGCTACTCAGGAGGCAGAGATGAGGAGGATTGTGTCTCAAAGCCAGCCCGGGGAAATAGTTCATGAGACCCTATCTTGAAAAAAACATCACAAAAAAAGGCTGGTGGAGTGGCTCAAGGTGTAGGCCCTGAGTTCAAATCCCAGTACTGCAAAAAAAAAAAAAAGGTAGACGGTCACAACCCCAGCAGAGACGGCCATGGGCGAGCCCTTCACTCCCCTCTGTGTTCGGAGGCTGGCCGCTAAGTTGCCCCAGCAAGACGCTGTGACTGCAGTTTGCTCTCTTTCTACCAAATGCACAATGCACAACCTGTGAGCCAGGGAACCTACTGGCCAAAATGGATTTGTGGCACCCCAGCCCTGGAGGGGACCCCACAATTCTGGACTACTCTAGAGGCCCCCCCACCAGTTTCTTTGTGGATTAGCCAAGGCGTAAGTAAAAATAATACAGTTTGTGACAGTAATCACTGGAAGAAATGATCAATGTAAAATGAAAAGGATGTACACAGTGAGATTTGGTTCCCATGAGAAAACTGGTCTGAGTAGAAATAACAGCCCCCAAGTAAGATGTGCCGAAGCAGGAGCTGTAGCAGAAGTGATTCTGGTGGCATTGTCTCAGCACAAGACCAAAGAAAAGGATTGTTGGTTTGCTTTTTTCCTTTTTCTTTTCTTTTTCGCCTGTACTGGGGTTTTGAACTCAGGGTCTCGCTCCTGTGGTCCATCACTTGAGCCACAGATCCCCAGGTCTTCTTTTGTTGATACCAGGGTATCTCTGGGTAGCCCAGGCTGGCCTAGAACTGGAGCTCCTCCTGCCTCAGCTTCCCAGGTGCCAGGATTACAGGTGTGACCACTACATGTGGCTTGGAAAAGGAACTGTTTTAAATCCACTTTGTGCTGTATAGAAAATTGGTCAAGGAACTCAACTGGCTCTGTGGAAATTTCACTCAAGAGCTGTGTTGTGCCAGGTGCTGGTGGCTCACACTTATAATCCTAGCTACTCAGGAGGCAGAGATCAAGAGGATCACGGTTCAAAGTCAGCACTGGGCAAATAGTTCACGAGACCCTATCTCAAAAAAACCCATTACAAAAAAAGGGCTGGTAGACTGCCTCAAGGTGTAGGCCCTGAGTTTAAGCCCAAGTACCACAAAAAAACCAAAACAAAACAGAACAAAAGTTGTGTCGTCCAAGCAAATGTCAGATAAGAAAGACTGTGTTGTTATTTATATGCATCAAGTTAAAACAATCACTGGTTAACCTAGGGGGTCCCCTATGCAGACCCCTGCCCTATGTCCAGGGCTCCTGTACCCTTTCCTGGGAGCGGGGCACCCAGTGGGGAAAGGCTCAGAGTGGGGGCTCACAGGCGGGTGGGATCCTCTGCAGGCTGTGTACTGGCTCGGGAGTCGGGGTGCTCAGATCTCATGGGCCTGGTGGATCCTGGGGCATGCTGGGGGTCCCTTGGGGATGGAATCAGCAGTGGCAGCAGCGGCAGAAGGGACGGCCGAGCCCGCGTCTCGGAGGACGGAGGGTGTGAGACAAAAGAGCTGTCACTGATGCGAGGACCCAAGGCTGCTGATGGGGGCAGGAGAAACCTGTGCTGATTTCTGAGAACATTCCCCAGAGCTGCTGGCCTTATGGGATTCGCCCCCCCCGGGGGTGAGGAGAAGCCCAAGCAAGACTGGAAGTGCTTCGTGGGTCATGGCAGAGCTGTGACTGCACTCCCTGGTGCTAAGCTTCCTACACTTCCTTGGGGGGAGGGAGAGCAACTTAAGACACAAGACTTCAGGAATGGGTGCCAGAGTACAGCACAGCACCCAAGAGCACATGGGGCTTGGAGTCTGCGGGGCTGGGGCAGGTCGCTGGGCCTCAGCTCCCTTCTCTTTGGGATGGACTAACAGTGCCACCTCAGAGTTGCATAAAGAGAAGAGACCAGAAAGGAGGAAGTGCTCTGTAAACTGGAAGGTGCCCCAGAAGCCTTGGAGTATAGAAAAGAATTGATCCCCACTCGGCTCAGCTCCTCCCACCGTGGCTCTTGGGACTAACACCAAAAGGTCGGGATAGTTAAGTGGGCTTCTTTGTCTCACTGCTGCAGCCAGGTGGACCCCTAGAAATAGATGTCTTGCCCAGGCTTCTGGGATTGTGCCTGGGGCCAGGAAGTTCTGAAAGGTGAAGCCAGAGCCTAGGATAGCTGGGGGTTCCATGACCTCTTTTCCCCAGCCAGGGAGCAGGGGATTTGGTGAGGGCTACACCAGGGGAATTCCCAGAATTCTGGTGCAGTGCAGGTGAACAGGTAGCTACCAGATGGGGACAGTGAAAGTGGAAGAGGTGAGACAGGCTGGAGGGGTGAAAGGAATGGGCTGGGACCAGGAGGGATGGCAGACCTGCCAGAATCCAGGTGAGTCAGGGCATCGGGGACAAATACTTACAGGAATAGGTGGCACCAGTTGAGACACTGGAACGCACTCGGTCACTCATGTTTTTAGCTGGGAGACATGGGATCTTCACAGCTAAGAGGAAGAGACCCAAACCTTTAGAGACTCTTCCAGAGTTCTGGACTCAGCATCAGGCCCAGCCTAATCCACACTACACTTTTCACTCTGGGGGACCAGAGGCCCAACCCTCTCTACACCAGACCCTGCCTGTCTAGAGCCCCTGAAGGCTAAAACGGTGAGATAAGGCCTTTGAACATCTCCAGGTCAGGGAGGAAAGCAACAATTAGCATAACACACAAGTGCAATTCAGATAGGACTTTATGGTTTAAACATCTAGCAGGGTTTTTTTGCTTTGGGTTTTGGTTTTTTGGCAGTACTGTGGTTTGAACTCAGGGCCTTATGCTTGCTAAGCAGATGCTCTACCACTTGACCCACCCTACCACTCCTTTTTGCATAGGGTCTTGCTTTATGTCAGGACTAGCCTGGACCTCGATCCTCTTATTTGTGCTTTCTGGTGTAGCTGGGATGACAGGCTTGGGCCACCCCCAGCCAGTTCTGTGTGTGTGTGTGTGTGTGTGTGTGTGTGTTGTTTATTTTATTACTATTATTATTATTTATTTCTTTTTTTTTTTGCAGTACTGGGGTTTGGACTCAGGGCCTTTTGCTTGCTAAGCAGGTGCTCTACTGCTGGAACCACTCAGACAGTTTTGGGGGTTTTTTGTATGTTGGGTTTTTTTTGAGATAGGATCTCTCAAACTATTTGCCTGGGGCTGGCTTGGAACTGTCATCTTCCTGATCTCTGCCTCCTGAGTAGCTTGGATTACCGGCGTGAGCCACCGGTGCCCAGCTGTTTATTTTTTGAGACAGGGTCCCACTGTTACCCAGCCTGGCTTTGAACTCCCTCGCAAGTAACTGGGACTATAGGTATGAACCATTATACTCAGTGCTCTAGTAATTCTGCCGCTATTCCTGCTGGGGGTCAGACTCTCATAATATCCTCATCCCCCACCTTCCTGTCTTCACCATTTGGTTTTTTTTAGGTAAAATTCACACGTTAATTATTTCAAGGGCACAGTTCAGTGGTGTGCAGTACATTCAGTGTTGCCCACCGCTTCTACCTAGTTCCAAGACATTTTCATCTCTCCCAAAGGAGACTGCATTCCCATTAAGCCATCACCTGTCCCAACCCCCAGCCAAACCACTGGGGACAAACACTGACTCATTTTGTCACGACTGACCTATTCTACAACATGTGACCTGTTAGGCTTAGTGTCCTTCACTTCTGAACCCAAAGCCTCCTCGCCATCTGGCCAAGAGTCACCATGACTGTGACCAGCCACCATCCCAATGCCTGGACCCCTGAAAGTGGGACCTTATGTGGCAAAGGGGGTTTTACTGAGTTAAGGATCTTAAGATGGGGGATTTTCCTGGAGTGTCCAGGGGTAATCACAGAGTCCTTACAGGGGACGGAGTCAGATGTGACAATGGACACACAGGCCAGAGGCATGCATTTTGAGGCTGGAGCAGCTTCTGGAAGCTGGAAAAAGAAAGGAATAGCCTCTCCCCTGCAGTCCTCGGAAGGCAGCACCTTGATTTTTGCTCAGTGAGATTGATTTCAGACGTCCAACCTCCAGAGCCAAGGTAATAAACTTGTGCTGTAATCCATGACAGCAGCCACAGAAAGTGAATACAGGGTTGGTTCTAGCTGGGGAGAGACACAAGTGGGCATGTTTTTGGCAGTTCCCTCTGCTAGCCAGGAAGATGGAGCTGGCCAGGGGTCTCCTTCTTCCTCCTGCTCTGCAGCATCCCTTGGCCTCCTCCTCCAGCCTGACTCCCCCAGCACTTCTCCTTTCGTACCCTGAGGCTTCTCTGAAGGGCCTACCCACTGACCTTGGCCTTGAACACCCACACTTCCTGCTGAGAGCAGCACTCGGGGGCGTTGTCTTGCACAGGGCTGGATTGCAGACGACCACAGCATCTGTAGGCCACAAGCTGGCCAAACAGCCCTCAGTGGCTCCCAGGTGGCCGGCAAAGGACTGGTTGGATGAGGGGCACAGTGGATATGGTAGGATGGACAGGCAGATGCCTCTAGACCACACTGGAGCTGGGGTGCTCAGCCTGGCTAGTTTTAGGTTGAGCTACTACTGAGTCTGTTTTGGAATGAAATGTTCTTTTGTGTAAATAAGTGAGTGACAATAACAGAACCCATCAGAAGCTTTAGCTTGTTCCTTGCTTGCTTGCTTCCTTCTTTCTTTCCTTTCTTCCCTTCCTCCCTCCCTCCCTCCTCCCTCCCTCCCTCCTTCCTTCCTCTTACTCCTTTCCTCTCTTTCTTTTTTAAACTGGTGAGGCTGGCTGTCTTGAGTTCCGGTTTGCTGCATGGGACTTAGGAATGAATGATCCACTGGCAGAGAATCCCCTCCCTTGGAGGTGACAGCCCTGGGTAGGGTATGGGGGTAGAGATAGGAACAAGGTGTCTCAGCAGTCCTGGCCCCTCTGCTGAGGGTGCACTCCCAGCAAGTGGACCCCCCTGCATGTCCATGAGATGCCTCACCAGGTTGCTGTGGACGAGGAGGTAGGGAGGCCCTGGCATGAAGTCAGGGCTCATTAAACATTAGCCCTGTTTTTGTCCTGCTTGGTGACCCCTGAAACCCAGCCAAGTCCCCTCCCCCCACACCTACAGTGGGGCCTGAGCAGCCAGGTCCTGCCTGGGCAGAGGGCAGGTGGCTGGTGTCCTGCTCTTCTGGAAACAGAGTGGGACCTGTAGTGGGTTACATGGTGGTCCCCGAAAAGATGTGTCTCCTGGAACCTGTGGATGTGACCTTGTTTGGAGACAAGGTCTCAGAGGGTGTGATTAGGGATCCTGAAATGGGATTACCCTGAGTTAGACTGAGCCCTCAATCCATGAAAGTCAGAAAAGAAGTCTAGAGGAGGAGGCCATGTGAAGACAGAGGCTGAGCTGGAAGGATGTGACCACTGCCAAGGAACGCCAGCAGCCAGGGAAGCTGGGAGGAACCTCCACTGGGGCCTCAGGAAGGAAACACACCACTGCTCACACCTTGATTTAGAGCCCCAGCCTCCCAACTGGGAGAGCAGATGTGCTAATCTGAGCCCCATGCTGCAGCAGAGCATGCCCAGACACCAGTAAGCAGCGCCCTTGCCTCAGGTGTCTGGGGTTCAGTCTTCCAGCCAGTGCGCCGTCCCACAGGCAAGGTTTAGACCTCCTTTTCCCAGAAGGAAAGATCCCCAAAAGGGCGTGCAGAAAAGGCTCCCTTTTTTGTATTACAAGCCTAGTGATAAAATCTAGAGTCAGGAGTTCCAGCTAGGATCCAGCTGGAGCTGAGGACTTGCTACCACAACAACCATGGTGACCAATGCTAAATAAATGCACATAGGTCAGGGTCTCCTGATGGCCTGACCCTTGACAGGGATATTAGGATCCAGAGTCTTCTTGTGTCCCCATCTCCTCTTCCTCACCCTCGCTCCACCCCTGTCCCTGCACTCCAGGTAGGCTCATCTTCCCACGTTCTACCTATGCTTGGCTTCCACCTACCACAGGGCCTTTGCACCTGCTGTTCTCAACACCCAAACTACTCTCATCCCTATGGACTCCTTCACCAAGCAATTCATTTTTCCTCTTCAAAGGCATCGAGGCAGTGGTCCAATCCCTCCCCCCATGGACCAGTGTCCCCTCACACAGCACCAGGCCAGCACCATTCCTTCGGTCAATGTCTTTGCCACAGACCAGCTGTTCTATAATCAGGGCTTCCTTTTAAGTCAGCTGTTTTTACATACATTCTCGTTTGTTTGTTTTTGTCTGCTGGAGAATGGACCAGGGCCTTGCACTTAAGTGCTCTACTTCTGAGCTACATCCCACTCCTCAGGTCAACTAGTTATATTTGTAACCATGGATTCTCACCCTCTGGCTATTTGCTTACAGTCTGCCCCCTCATGAGCACACCACAGGAGACAGTTCATGTCTTTTGCTGCCCACTGTGTCCTGACACCTGGTAAGGTGCCTGGCACACAATGAGGAACCCAATCACTTTTGTGATGGCACCAGTCTGGGGCCTCACCTGCATCCTCTCACCCTGCCCAGCAGAGCCAGGACCTACGGCAGGGATGCCCAGGTGCCCCTTACCTGTCAAATCCTTCTCTCCAGTGACCAAGGGCCGGCCTCCAGACTGGCTGTCCATTCGGCCTTTGTACAGGATCCCATCCACTCCTAGGATGTCCACCTCTGCCTGTTGGGTGGCCCATGTCCCAAGTCAGGGCCTCCACCTTCCACCCCTGTCTAGAACACACAGAGACCCAGAAGCCAGCGCAAAGCTTCTAGTGGCACGCAAAGCTTGGGGCCCAGCCCCACTGCGCCACCCCCACCCCCTCCCCACCCAAGCTTAGGGCATGCTGAGTTCCACTATCCATAGAGGAGGCCAGACTTACAGTGTCATAGTCCAGTTCTTGGGGGTCCCCATAAGGATAGAGTGTCGACAGGTCATAGGTCTTGGACCTGAGGGTGGTGTTTCGTGGCCCATCCCCCCAGTCTTGCTGGGAGACCAAGGGGTCTACATTATCTGCCTGGATTCCAAGGTCCTGGAACTGCAGCTGCTGGTGTTCCCTGGGCAGAGAAAAGGGTCAGCAACCACCTGGAGACCCCTCTACCCCAGAGGAGCCCCAGGCTAGGCCCCAGGGGCCGGGGATATCAGGAGAGGTATGTGGCACAGTAGGCAGGCACAGTCACACCCACATTTCCCTTCCCCAGACCCGGCCACACCTGGCGCCCTCATCGGGCCTGTAAGCACAGTTCTTGACCTGAGCTCCAGAATCAGGTTCAGGAGCAACCAGCACAACCCCCAGGTCCCTCCCTGTCCCACAGCTGTGATTAATACTCAGCTGCTTGTCCCCCACCATAGTATGTCAGCAGGTGGGACCCAGGGAGCCAGTGAGGGGGAAACCAGCAGGTTTAGATGCTACCTCTGCCACTTATTAGTCATGACTTGGGCAGCTTTCATAAGCTCTGTGACACCTAGTTTCTTCAACTGTAACATGAAGTGATAATGGAGTACACCTCAAAGAAAAAGCCAGAAGAGCTCAAAAAGACCGGGTATGCCAAGGCCCTTAGCACAGAGCCTGCTAGGCCACAGCCAGGGCTCCTGAGGGGCCTTCATGATGGCTTACCCACCAGGGACTATTTGGAAGCACCTGACAGCTCTTGGCCCACAACAGATGCCCTGTAAAAGCACTGGCTCCTCTCCTCACGGTCCTCTCGTGTGCTCTCAGCTCACCTTATCAGCTGCCGCTCCAGGTACTCATAGCTGTTGGCGCTGGCGGGTCTTGTCCGTGGTAGCAGTTGGGCTTTGCGGATGGTGATCAACTGCCTGCAGAGGTGAGGGGGAGAGGCCAGGCTGTGGGAGGTACAGGTGGCCTGCAGAGGGCTCCCTCCCAGCAGAGGAGGTAGGTGTAGACCAGGTTCTCCAGCTCCACAGCATGGGGCCCTGGGCACGGAGAGGCCCTGACAATCGTGGTAAGACACAAACTGCAGTTGTTTTGATGATAAAAGTGAAACCCAAGCTAGGTTCACCCTAGAAGTAGGTAGCAGATTGGAGGTTGCCAGAGGATGTGGGAAGCGAGGTGGGGAAAACTGTGGAAGGGTGTGGGGCTCCCTTTGGGGGGAATTTGATGCTCGGGCATGCATGCACCAAAGGCATCTTTGTAAATGGTTAAGTTTAGGTGTTTTGCTTGAATAAGGAAATAAAAATGCAGCCGGAAGAGCCTTCGTGGAGGAGCAGGGGTCACTCCCCGCCTCTATCTGAGTGGCAGTTGTACACTCATGCCAAAGTCGCTCACACGCCACAGGAAACACCACTGTGCTTTACTCTATGTATATCAAGTCACAATAAAATTTTCAGTAAAACATACTGACTCTTAACATCTTATGAAGTAGAAACACACAAAGAAACGAAGCACTGTAATCACGTGACACAGATTCTGATACATACGTCCTTCCAGTATTTTGCCGTGTTTATGTAATTTTTTAAACAAGTAGAATTAATCACATAGAGCTACTCGATTCTGTAATGTATTGCCAACCTTTCCCTGATCATTAAACTCTCTTCCACAGCTGTGCCACCCAACAGAGAAGCCCGTGGCTATTTAAGTTAGCTAAGTGTAAACGAAATGTAAGATTCAGCTTCTCAGTCTCGGTAGCCCATTTCACGCGCTCTACAGCCATGTGTGCCCCGTGACTCCCAGGCTGGATGGCACAGCTACCGACTGCTCCCGCACCACACAGCGCCCTTAGGCAGCATTCTTCTACATCGTGCTTACGCTGGGTGTTTACACCGAAAGATGGTAAAACATTTATCTTGTAGGTTGCTTCCAGTTTGGGGTTTTTTTTTTTTTTTGTGTGGGAGTGGAGTTTGAACTCAGAGCTTCCCATTTGCAAAGCAGGTGCTCTACTATTTGAACCCCACGTCCAGTCCATTTCGCTCTGCTTATTTTGGAGCTGGGGGTCTCAAATTATTTGCCCAGGTTGGCCTCACACTGTAGTCCTCCTGATCTCAGCCTCCCATGTAGCTAGGATGATAGGTGTGAACCACATGTCCAGCTCGATTGCAGTATTTTTTTTTCTAGTATAAATAATGCTGCAGCTTATCTGTGATTTGAAAAGGAAAGCCCCTCCATGAGCATGAACCGGCACGGGGCAGTAACTTCATAGGTTCCTGGACAGGCTAGCACTGCAGAGGCCTGCACGGTCCTGCTGCTCAGGACTGATTATTGTCTGGTAGCAACTCAAAAGTTAGCCCAGAGCTGCCATATGACCCAATGCTTCCACTCCTAGGTCCATACCCAAAACAATGGAAAACAAGTGATCAAATACATGTGCACCAATGTTCATAGCAGCACGAGTCACAATAGCTAAAAGGCAGAAGCATCCCAATGTCCATCAGCTGGCGAATGGGAAAAGAAATGTGCTCTACCCATACAATGGAATATTACTCAGCCATAACAAGCAATAAAGCACTGATTTACTACGACATGGAGCGACCTCATGAATATTATGCCAAGTGAAAGAAGCAGATGCAAAAAGCTGCATCGTGTATGGTTCCACTTACAGGAAACGTCCAGAAAGGCAAATCCAGAGAGATAGGAAGTGGGTAGTGGCTGTCAGGGGCTGGGGGGTGGTGGCAAAGAGAGTGACTGTAATGGGTCTGGGGTTTCCTTTGCAGGGTAGGAACATGGTTCTGGAATTAAATAGAGGCCACAATGGCACTACACTGTAAATGTACCATAAACATATAAAATAGTTCACTGTGGCCCCAGTACTGCCAAAAATAATATAATAAATGGTTCATTACATGTTGTGTGGACTTCATTTCAATGAATTAAAAATTATCAGGCTTTTCTCCAAATAAGTGCAAGGAGCCAGAAGTGGTGGTGCAGACCTGTCTATAATCCCAGCGTTCCCGAGGCTGAGGAAGAAGGATCACAAGTTTGAGGTCAGCCTGGGCTACACAGTAAGACATTGTCTCAAAGAGTAAAAACCCCAAACTAGCAATAAGTGCGAGGAAATACGACGAGTTCTGCTTTTCCCCATGTTTCCTTCTAGCCCCTTTTCTTTTTTTAGAGTTGACGCAGTCCTTGGTGCGCATACACTGGCGAGGGTGGCTAAGGTAAGAAAGGCGACCACTCTCCCCCATGCAGGGAGTCCCTGGGGGCGGGAAGGTGACAGCTCCAGGATGACCCCAAGGATGTGTGTGCACACGATGACGTAAGCGGTGCACACGGGCTTGCAGAGGTGGTGCAGAGCCGTGCCCGCGGACGTGTGCCCTGGACGGCCGCAGGACTGCCACCCCCGCGCGGGCCGGCGGTACTCACGGGCTGGTCATCATCTGCACGGGCCGGCCGCAGGAAATGCACTTCACACGCTCAAACAGCTTCCTGCAGGACACGGCGGTCAGCGGTCACCGGGGCCCGGGACTGAGGGGGCTGCAGGTCCCCTGGCCTCGGCCCCGCGGGCCCTGCTGTCCCCGCGGACACAGGCGATGATCCTGGGGACCTCGGGATCCAGCCCTCACACCCTGGGCCCCTCTGCCTGTGGGCAGCAGTCTGGGTGGGGGTGGGGATGGGGGTCAAGGACCCCAGCTCTGCCCCACAGCCCCTTCCCTCTCCGAGCCTCCGTTTCCTCATTTGCAGCAGAAAGGCTGGAGGACCCCGCCAGGGAAGTCAGAGCTGCCCACCCTGGGCCCCTAATCCTCCCCCCATCCCAACCCCCATCCCTCTCTCCCTCCATGCCACCATGGTCAGGGATCCCCTGACCCCCTCAGCCTGGCAGCCGCACTGACTTCCTGAAGCCCGCAGCACGGTCAGGGTCGAATCGAAGGCTGTCCATCAGCAGCTTCTGCACTACTTTCCACATCTCTTCCATGTTCTTCTTCACCTCGTCCAGATCACTGTGGATTAGCTGCCGAGCAGAGGACAGAAGACAGTGTAGTCAGTCAATTCTCACCCAGCAACCTGCAAAGTTACAGGGAGAGCAAGGAGAGGAACAAAGACAGTGGGGTGGTCCAGTAGCTCCAGTAAAGCTCCTGACTTCTTGGATGTCACTGGTTCAGGGCACATGCAAAGTGAGGCTCCCTGCAGCCAAGGCAAAAAAAAAACATTAGCTGTTGCCTCCAAACCTACTGCTGACCCATGGGGCTGAAGGCTCAAGAAGCCTTTTTCCAGTTGTTCCCAAGCCCTTGGCATGGTAGGCAACATGGACAATTGTCACTTTTAATATACCCACATAGAATCAGTTATGCAGCCACCATAATCAATGTTAGAACATTTGTACCATGGCAAAAGAAGCCTCATGCCCATTACTAGTCACCCCCATTTCCCCCGGCGCTAGCCACCCTCGCAACCGCTCACTTACTCTGTGTCTATGGATCAGCCTGCTCTGGACACTTCATATAAATGGAATCATACACTGTGTGGTGTTGTCATCTGGTCTCTTTCCCTTGGAACATTGTTTTTAAGATTCATCCATATTGTAGCATGAACCATTCATGCTTTTTCTTTTTTTTTTTTTTTTTTTTTTCACAGTACTGGGATTTGAACTCAAAGTCTACACCTTGAGCAGCTCTATAAGCCCTTTTTTGTGATGGGTTTTTTCGAGATAGGGTCTCGTGAACTATTTGCCCCAGCTGGCTTTGAACCTCAATCCTCCTGATCTCTGCCTTCTGAGAAGCTAGGATAACAGGCGTGAGCCACTGGCACTCAGCAAGAAATTTTCTGATGGTACTGGGGCTTGAACTCAGGACCCACACTTGCTGAGCAGGTGCTCTACCACTTGAGCCACTCCACCGGCCCTCATGCTATATATGATACCACATGGAATATCATGACTGAATTCTATTCCATCCTCTGGACGTACCACATTTTGTTTGTTAATTCCTCTGCTGACAGACACAGGTTGTTTCACCCTTTAGCTCTCATGAATAATGCTGCTATGTTCATTCTTAGCATGTACAAGTTTCGTGTGGACATGTCTTCACTGTTCTTGGGTAGAAGGGATGAAGGTCTGATGAACTTCAGAGACATGACTGAGTCAAAGAAGGGGAGGCTGGGATGTGACTGCTAATGGCTATACTGGGTTTCCTTTAGGGAAGATAAAATGTCTTCGAACTGGTGGAGGTGGCAGTCACAACACTGAAATGTGAGTGCCACTGATTTGTTCACTTTAGAATAGTTAATGGTGCTCTTTTTTTTTTTTCCTGGATAGTCTCACTATGCAGCCTAGGATGGCCTCAAACTCACCATCCTCCTGCCTCAGCCTCCCAAGCAGCTGGGACTATAAGCACACACTGTCTAGCTTGTTCGGTGACTTTTACCACAATTAAAAATATAGAAAGAGGGCTGGAGGCGGGCTCAAGTGGTAAAGCACCTACTTAGCAAGTGCAACGCCCTGAGTTCAAACCCAGTACCACCAGAAAGAAAAGAAAAAATAAGAAAGAATGGGGAAAAAAAGATAAAGAAAGGAAGGAAGGAAAGAAAGAAAGACAATAAATAAGTATGGGATCACTTAAAATAACAATTACCATAAAAAAAAACTTCTAAACTGGGCGTGGTGGTGCACACCTGTAATCCAAGCACTTGGGAGGCTAAGGCAGAAGAATCAATTAGTTCAAGGCCAATCTGGGCTACATATGAAGACCCTGTCTGAAAAAAAACAAATAGTGAACAAAAAAAATTTTTATTTGGAAAAATGTCACACATAGAAAAGTAGAAAGACTATAATAATTAGCCCCATATTTTCACCACCTAGATTTAATAATTACCAGTATGTTGCTATATTTACTTTACTGATTTATTTACTTTTGTGGTGCTGGGGTTTGAACTCAGGGCTTTGAACCTGCAAAGTGGGCATTTATACTGCTTGAGCCACACACGTCCAATCCGTTTTGCTGTGGTTATCACAAGATAGGGTCTCATGAACTCTTTGCCAGGGCTAGCCTCAAATTGCAATCCTCCTGATCTCAGCCTCTCAAGTAGCTAGGATTACAGGTGTGAGCCACCGGCACCCAGCCTGCCTTATTTTTATTATTATTTTTTTTTTTTTTTGAGAGCTCAGTGTATAGCTCTGACTTTCCTGGAACTTGCTATATAGCACAAAAGTTTCCAATCTCCTGCATCTGCCTCCCAGTGCTAAGATCACAGCATGCCCCCCCATACCTAGCTAGATTAAATTTTTTAAGTTACAGAAATCACGATATTATGTTCATATATACCTGAGTAATTATCTCTGAGAAATGGAGACATTTTCATTCATAACCACAATTCCCTGATCACATCTGATACAATCTAACAATAATTCCTGACTTGGGACACTTTCCCAGCCATTTTAGAATTGACTTGACTGAGCTAGGCAACAAGTAGAATCTCCTTAGGCGTGGCATTGCTTGGGCTCCTACAGCCCTTTTGATGGGGAGCAGCCTTTGTCACCACTTCCCTGTTTTGCAGATGAAACAGCTGTCTCAGAGAAACTTGAACTCCAAGCTGCCCATGCTCCTTTGGCCAAACCCACTGCCCCTGGTGCAGGCGTCATGTAGCACTGCCATTGGTGGCCCTTCTATCCCTGTCTCTCTGTGGGACTGTACAAGTGGAGGCAGGGGCTGTGATTCCCCTTCAACATTTCCCCAGGCCTGGCATGCCTTAGGTGGTCAGGAAATGGTGAATGAATGAATGCGTGACTGACATGGCCCCTCAGCAGAGCCCCTGCTCCACTCTACTCTGACCCTTTGCTTGCCCCACCAGGAGAGCTGGGGTAATCAGCCTCCAAGATGGCTCCCTGCTGTACTGCTGAGTAATCCCCTCTCACACTGAGTAGGGGGATTTGTAAGCAACAGGATATTGTAATGTCCTTGGCGGACGCAGGGCAGTTCCCTTGGATAAGTCATAAAAGACACTGCAGAGACTTCTTGCTGTCTGGAGTCACTTGCTGTGACGGGTGTTGGCTGCCATGTTGTGGGGCCACTCAAAGGGCCCCGAAGAAGTCCTTTGATGAGGACCTGGAGCACCTTACTGACAGTCGCATGGGGGTGAGACTGGAAGTGAGAGACCCAAAATGGTCAGGCAGAACAGGGACAGGGGAATTGCTGGAAACTTACCAAAGGCAGAGATGAGATGAGCAGGTGGGGGAGTCTGAGGAGACTTAAAACCATGTGCCAACACCTCGAAACTACTGGGGCTTCTGAATAAACGTGAGCCATGCCCGATAAGATGCCCGGCCAGAGCGCCGGACCTCAGGGCCATTGGGAAGGGAAAGAGGGGCATGTGCAGTGCTCCAGGGATGTCCATGACCCAGGAATGAGTCAGTAGCACAGAGACCCAACCAGCTTCCCTTCAACCAGGAAATGAAATCCTCATAAAACCATTAGTCAAAGAGCCTTGAGGGCTCAGCCTTTCGGAGATCCCTCCCGTATGGGAGGTTCTTCTTGCCCTTTCCTCTGTGCTTAAATAAAACTGCTCTTTTGCTTGCCCTGTTTGTGAGTCTGTGACTCTCATTCTTTGATTACATGAGACAAAGCCCCCGCCAACAACTACAGCACATCTGAGACCAGATGAGACCGGACTGCAGCGGGGACACCATCTTTGAAGAGGCTCCTTTAGCCCCAGTCTAGTATTCAGATTATACACCTTCACTGTGACCTCGTGAGAAGACCCTAAGCCACCCAGCTAAGCTGCTGCCAAATTCTTGCTCTCCAAAGCCGAGCATTTGCTGTCGGAGCGGTTAAGATCTAGGGGAATTTGTCATCAAGCATGTGCTAAGCCATGCAGGTTGCTCACCTTGGTGCTCAGGTCTCTCTTGAGCTGCTTCAGAGCCTTCTTCCAGTCATCATCGTGGGTTGTTACCTTGAAAAGTATGCCCTGGACCATCTCGTTCAGCTCCGTCGCCACCGTCTCCAGGTCGGCCCGGCTTGCCTTGCTGGCCAGGGCACTCCTGTCAGCTTTCTAGAAAGACAGGGAGTTCAGGGGACGAGGATGCTGGAGTAGGAAAGGAGCAGCTGGGGGATGTCTGATCCCTTTGGTCATATTATTTTAGTTGGAGACCCAGATGTCTAGCCTTGGCTTAAGTTCATCCATGGGATCCATATTGGCTCAAACACAACTGTGAGATCTAAGCCAAGGTTTTCCTATGACAGGGAAGATGACATTTGATTTTTAAGTCACATGAGTATAACTAATCCTGAGTCAGTGACAATAGGAGCGGACAGGACAACTTTTGAGAAGTGTCCTCAGCCTTCCTGTATGAACAGAGGCAGAGGGAATTCTGGAGGGCTCTCTGGGTGGGAGAGCTGGGGCTCAGGATAGTGGAGTGGGAGACAGAGGACCTCTGTTCACTCACTTCTTTCAGCTCCTGAAGCAACATGCCTTTATCTGCCTTGTCCTGATGCATTCTGCTGATTTGAGCCTGGAGAGTCTAAGCACGGAGCAAAGACATGAGTCAACCATTCTTCTCAAAGACTTGAGGGTAACAGCTACCTCGCACCTCCGCCCTTGCCATATGGTGGGTAGGAAGAGACACAGGGCCAGGTGAACAGCAGGTAGGTGAGCACGTGGAAAGGCTCAGGTTCACAGGCTCCAGGTACCAAGAGCAGAAAAGAGGGAACAGGGGACTAAGGACAAAATGTCCCTTGGCGGTGGTGTCACAGGCACTCTCCTGCACAGGCCCAGGGAAGCACTTGTCAGTGCAGGTGATTTGGTCCCCTAGACGTTTGAGGTCAGTTCACCTCGTGTGATTTACTATGGGGTTTCAGTGAGAGCTGCAGTCTGTCATCATCTGAGCGCTTCATGTGCCACGTGTTAGGGGCTCCACGAAGAAGCAACTCCCCCATTAGTGCTGCCCTCTCTCCACCTACTAGATCTCCCCCCCAACAGGAATAGCAGCTAGCCTGCTTGGGAAGAGCCTCCCACATTCCCAGAGGCTGGGGTCACTTCTTTTTTTTTCCCATGGTACGTGGGTTTGAGCTCAGGGCATACACCTTGAGCCACTCCACCAGCCCATTTTTGTGTGTGTGTGTGTGTGATGGTTTCTTTTTGAGATAGGGTCTCATGAACTGTTTGCCTGGGCTGGCTTCAAACTGTGCTTCTCCTGATCTCTGCCTTCTGAGTAGTTAGGATTACAGGCGTGAGCTACCGGTGCCCGGCTGGGGTCACTTTTTCTTCAAGCTGAAAGCTGGCTTCTACTTCTTTATTTTTATTTTTTGTTTCTTTTCTTTTTTTTTTTTTCTATTTCTTTTAGCTTCTACTTCTTCCTTCACATCTAGTCTCCCTCACTCTTAGGAACAGAACTCCCAATTTTAGAAGCAACTCAGCTGCCCAAAATCAAGACTACATTTCACAGCCTCTTGTAGCTCAGTGTGACCACTGGGGTGTGGATGGAAGTAGGTGGGTGCATTTATCTTTTCATTCTCTATCCTCTTTGCTGCTGGCTAAACATAAGAGTTAATAGCTGGAGTGCCAGTAGCCATCTTGGACCATGAGGTAACCTTGTAAGTGGAAGTCAGAGGAGAACAAAAAAGAAGAAAAATGGAGCTTAAAAAAAAGAAGAAGAAATTCAACAAAGCATGGACCTTGGGTGTCTGACACTATGAGCTCTGGAACAATCATCTGAATTTCTCAAATGTGAAAAAGAAATTTTTTTTCTTTGTTTAAGTCAGTTATTTGGGGACTTTCTATTACTGGAAGTTAAGTCTAATTTTAATTAACACAAAGCATCATCACATCCACTTTGCTCCCCAGGTGGGTTCCCGAGGTCTATTACAGGAGGCTGAAGTGTGGGAGAAAACACTTGCTTTGGCTCTAAGTCCAGTAGACAAATGCTAGTCTTTGGTGTTATGGAGCCAGCATCAGTGCTCAGAGCCCTGCTTGGCTCCACAACTGTAGTTAAGATCTAGAAATAAGGAGGATCACTTGGCAAGTACCAGTGGCTCATGCCTATAATCCTAGCTACTCAGGAGGCAGAGATCAGGAGGATTATGGTTTGAAGCCAGCCCCGAGACCCTATCTCAGAAAAACCCTTCACACACACACACACACACACACACACACACACACACACACAACACATGAAAAGACTAGTGGAGTGTCTCAATGTGTAGGCTTGGAGTTCAAATCCCAGTATCACAGAAAAAAAAAAGAAGGGTCATCTGTGTACTGGGTTGAATAGTGGCACCCCAAAATTAATGTCCACTTAGAACCTGAGAACACAAACTTATTTGAAAACATGGTTTTTGTGGATGTAATATAGTAACATGAGGTTCTACTATATTAGGGTGGGCCCTGAATCTAATAACAGATGTCCTTACATGAAGGTCGTCAGAAGACACAGCAATGCACAGAGAGAAGAGGCCATGTGACCACAGAGGCAGAGAACGGAAACGAGGTATTTACAAGGCAAGGAGCATCTGAAGCTGGAAGAGGCAGGGAAGGACTTTCCCATGGGGCCGTATTAGCTTTTGGCCATTGTTATTATTATTATTATTTTTTTTGGCAGTACAGAGTTTGAACTCAGGTCCTCACACGTGGTATGTAGGCACTCTACCACTTGAGACACTCTTCCAGGCCCCACAGTATCTTTTGTGACCAGCTTCTGAGGCCACACACCATTATTTTTGCAACATCCTATTGGTTAAACAAATCCGTCCCATTCAATGTTCGAGGGAACTACACAGTTTCAAGGGTCTGCTACATCTTCAAAAAGTGTGGCCAAGATATAGCACAGCCGTCCTTCACTGATAATGATGGAGAATGGCGCAAAGTACCATCTGCTCTGTTGGGACCAGCAGAGTTCTCTCTGGAGTTGGCGAGCTTCCTCAGATAGTCAGCTTTCCTGTAACCAGCAGAGCCTAGAGGCAGGGGCAGCACTAAACACTCTGGTCAGGTCCACAGTGTGACTGAGAGGATTTGCAGCCAGTTCTCAAGCTGATATCAAAGGTTGTGTTGCAACTGCTTATTTGGCTGTGAAATTTGACAGACGAGGCCCAGCCAGGCCAGCCATAGTGGATCACACCTGTAATCCTAGCCACTCAGGAGGCAGAGGTCGGGAGAATGGTGGTTTGAGGTCAGCTCTTGCAGGGAATTTGCAAGACCCATCTCAATCAATAAAAGCTGGGCACAGCAGTTCACTCCTGTTATCCCAGCTACATGAGAAGCATAAATTAAAGAAAGAACATCCAGGCCTGGGAAAAAATGGGAAAGTCTCTCCAAAGAATACCTACAGCAAAAAGGGCTAGGAGTATAGCTCGAGTGGTATAGTGCCTGCCTGGCAAGCTCAAGGCCCTGAGTTCAAACCCCATTACTGAAGAAAGAGAAAGGAAAGAAGGAAAGAAGGGAGGAAGAAAGGAAAGAATGAAGGAACGAAGGAACGAAGGAAGGGGATAAAAGGCCAACCGGCTCCAACTTTCAGTAGTTCACACAGAAGATCTAAAGCAGATGGCAGTAGAGGGGGAGCTGAAAGCGTCTGGTGAGAACTGCCAGGGACATGTCTCTTCTTGATTTCTGAACAGGGAAATGTGGCACTGTTCTGTATGAATTTTTTTTTCTCTTTTTTAGTGGCACTGGAGTTTGAACTCAGGACTTTACATTTGCTAGGCAGGTGCTCTACCACTTGAGCCACTCCACAGCCCTGTGTTTTTTGTTTTTTTGTTGTTTTTAAATTTGTGTGTGTGTGTGATGAAGTTTTTCCAGATAGGGTCTTGAAATCTATTTGCCCAGGGTTGGCTTCGAACCTCGATCCTCCTGGTCTCAGGCGCCCAGCTGTATGAACGTCTCGAACCGCTGATCTCATGCTCGGAGGATGTCCTTAGCTGTCCTCAAGGTTTCTGGGAATTCTGGGGCTCTATGATCACCTATGCTCTGGGTTCTCCTTTTCTCTATCCCAGAACTGACCCATCCAGACTACACAATCCTCCTGCCTCAAGCTCCTAAGTGCTAGGATTATAGGCATGAACCACTTGCCTAGCAGGCAAGGGAACTTCCTAAAGCAATGGAAATGTCTTCATCTTGATTGGATGGTGGTCACACAAATGTGTACATAGGTAAGAATTAACTGAGACAATTCACTAGTTCACTGTGTGTAATATACTTTAGTCGAAGCCAGGTGCTGGTGGCTCACACTTATAATCCTAGATGCTCAGGAGGCAGAGATCAGGAGGATCATGAGATCCCATCTGGAAAAACCCATCACAGAAAAAAAGGGCTGGTGGAGTGGCTCAAGAGGTAAGAGCACTTGCCTAGCAAGTGTGAGGCCTTGAGTTCAAACTCAGTGCAGAAAAAAAAAAAAGCAGCATAGTTAGAAACAGACAAACCCTGCCACTGTCCCAGACCCAAGCACAGCCTGGCCTGTTTGTGTTGTTGACTGCTATATCACAGTCCCTAGAGCTTTCCTGGTGCAGAGTAAGCACTCAGTAATGTTTGCTAAATGAATCAACCAATGTGCAGGAGGAGCTCTTGTGATATCTGTTATGTTCCTAGTATTTCCACATAGACTCCTGGTAAAGCCAAGACAGTGGCTTTTTTTTCATCCACTCAGACATCGTGGCAGAATCAGGGCTTCCCTGGGAAGTTCCACACCGTTGCTGATCTCTGGCACATGAGTCCATTTACAAAAATGTGTATTTAATGACTCACGTGTCGTATACAAATTCCTGTCTCAAGTTCTTCTAGGTTTAACTTTTTTTTTCGGTACTGGGGCTTGAACTCAGGGCCTACACTTTGAACCACTCTACTACCCCTATTTTTGTGAAGGGTTTTTCAAGATAGGATCTCTTGAACTATTTGCCCAGGTTGGCATCGAACTGCAATCCTCCTGATCTCTGCCTCCTGAGTAGCTACGATTACAGTCATGAGACACCGGTGCCCAGCGAGGGTTAACTTTTAGAAGCAATTTTGATGGCACCAGAGCTGGAAGGAAGTTGGGACAAAGCTTGACTTGTTCCAGTTCAGTGCTGTTTCCTAGGGCCTCATCCGCTTGAGTTTCTATCCAGTGACAACTGCTGGGAAGCAGACACTCTAACTCCTTCTTCCCTGGACACACAGCAACATGCTGAATTGAACTGACTCTGGTCTCCATCGAGGAGGCCTCCCCAAGACATCCCCAGGACGTGGTACCCAGGCCTCTTAAAGACCAGAAAAAATAAAAAAATAAAGACCAGGAACTAAAGGACAGCCAGAGTTGGCAGAGGACAACTCGGCTCCTGATGGGTGGTGTCCACAAAGGTCTGAGCGTGCGGCCACACACAGCTGCAAACCTCCAAAGACAGGGAGCTCTCCCTTCCACACCCACATCGAAGGATACAAATTGCTTCCCTATTACCAGTTCTTTTTCAAAGTTGCCCTGTTTGTGTCCCAGCCTGGTCCCCTGTGAGATGACATCAGGAGGAAGTGCAATATCATGGGCTTGCTTCAGTCCTCCCCTTTTGCCTTCAAATTCTGCCACATTCCACCAAGAGCCCTCTGACTTAGGATCTAAAGTCCCCATGAAACTGGGTGTGGTGGTGCACACTGAAATTGCAGCCCTCAGAAGGCTGAGGCAAGAGGGTCTTGGGTCTGGGGCCAGTGTGGGTTATATGGTGACACTATCTCAAAAAGAAACCCCCATGGGACAGGCCAGATCAGTAGGCCAGATCTGTGCATCAGGACCCTTCAGACCCACTGGGAAGGCATCAGATCAAGTGGGTCCTGAGTCAGAGCTCTGTATCTACCTTCTCGTTCACCATGTTAGTGAACCTGCTATTCTAGAAAGGCCCAGCAGTACTGAGAACTCAGAGAAGGAATTTGTTTCCCCAAAATGAGTAAATTTCAGGCAAATGTCATGGTCATAACTGTTGCTACAGGAAACTCTCTTATTCTTTCATTAATTCATTCAGCAAACATTACTCAGCCTTTACTCTGCCTCCCTAGGGATAAGTGACACAGAGGCCCCAAGATGGATACGGTCCAGGCCCTTTATGTGTGGGGTTTTTTTTTGTAGTTAGATACATTTTATTTAAATATGCCAAATGAAACCACACATTTTCAGACCATAAGATGTTAATACATTCAACAAAAACGTTATCGTACTGCTGTGAACGGCATTTGGTTTTAATTGAAGTGTAATCTATGCACAGTAAAATGTCCTCTGGTTCCCCAGCCTTCAGTTTGTGCCCTGTTCTGCAAAACCTCTGGGTGGGGGGGCCTGAAGGTCTTGAGGAGAAACTCTCTCTTGCCGCCCTTCCCAGCCCTACCCCCACCTCCGAACCTTAAAGTCGTCCAGGCGAATCTGGAGCTTTCCCACCGCCCTGTCCAGCACCAAGTAGTGACTCTTCATCGATTCTATTTGATGGCCCCAAATTCTCTCTAGTTCCTCTTCCTAGATGGGGGAGACCAGACATCTGAGGTCACCATGGCTGGAAGGGGCTGGATGCACTCCAACCTCCCATCTGACAAGCCACCTGACACACTCGTTTTTGGAAGGAATCACACAGCCACCCACCTGTTGGGACCCTGCAGCAGCTGGATTGCCTCTGCACAGCTGCAGCTGCCTTCTCACCCCACCCATTTCCCCAGGCTTCCCTTCAGCTACAGGGCAGAAGCTACGTGTGTGGGGGGGATTGAGTAGCCAGCTCTCAGTTCACTTCCAGCCACCATCTTCTCAAATGCTCCTCTTGCTAGGGACACTGACCTGTAGCCTGGATTTCTGGAGGTTGCTAATCTTCTCCTGCAGTCCCTCTACGGCTGTTCCAAGTGTGGAGGTATCTCTCATTTTAGCTGAAAGCAAAGGAGGGAGTGACTGTTGGGGGCAGGAAGGAGGAAAATGACTGGCTAGAGCTCCCACTACTTGTCACAAGGTTGCTGAGGCAATCTGGTCCCCACAGAAATTCACTGACCTTAGTGTCTTGGAAATAATATTAGATTTTCTAGTAGACTCAAATTTTTTTTTTTTGGTGGGACTGGGTTTTGAACTCAGGGCTTTGTGCTTGCAAAGCAGACACTCTACCACTTGAGCCATGCCTCCAACACTTTTGCTCTGGTTATTTTGGAGATGAGGTCTCACTTTTTGCCCAGGCTGGCCTGGACCATGAATCTACGTATTTTACATCCAGCCCCTATCTGGTTTTCTTAACGAAAATAGCAGCTGGTCAGAAGTAGCATTTGGGCTGCTATTGCTTCATGTTTTAAATTTAAATTTATTACTATTCTAATCTTACCTATGTTCCAGTATTCATAGATATTCTTAAGTTTTTTGTTTTGTTTTGTTTTGCTTTTAAGACAGAGTCTTGCTATGTAGTCCAGGCTGGCCTTGAATTTGGAATCCTCCTGCCTCAGCCTTCTGAGTGCTGGGATTACAGGTATGTGCCACCATGCCTGGCTTGATATGGTTCTTTTTAGTTATGTGAAGTTTTCCCCTAAGATTTGTGAACTAGCACTGCCCATCAGAAGTGCCAAATAGGGAATTCTGTTATTGTATTTCTAAGAGAGTGAAAAGCAAGATGATGACTCAGAAGCAGATCAGTGGGTCTCAAAGCAGGTTTTTTCTAGTTCTACAGCATCAGCACCACTTGGGGATGGGGTGAAAATGCAAATTCTTAGGCCAGGGTGTAGATAGGCCAGTGTTCGTTTAGCATGCCGGAGGCCCTGGGTTTGATCTCCAGCACCACACATACACACACACACAACTTGGGTAAGGGACCAAAGTAGTGTGGCTTATGCAGTCCTCCAGGGACACTGAGTCAAGTCTAAGGTTGAGGATGACTAGCATAGAAAGTCCTCTCTCCATTCTGAACCCACCATGGCCATAAAAGGGGAGCATACACCTATGGGTTCCCTTGCCACGCAGAATGGAACTATAGTCTCTAAGTATATATATTTTTTCCTGGAAGTTGCTCCTAATCCCAAATGATCATTTCATCTGGACTCAGTTCAGTGGTTACTCTCTTGCTGAACCAAACTTATCAGGACACTGCTCAAGACTGTTTTAGGGCTACTGAAAAGGAGTTTACAAAGCCAGGCATGGTGGGTCATACCTGTAATCCCAGCTACTTAGAGGTAGAGATTGGGATGATTGAGGTTTAAAGCCCAAATTTGGTGAGATTCCCATATCAATCAGTAAGTTGGGCGTGGTGGGTCAAGCCTGTTTCACCAGCAACATGGGAAGCCATAAGGCAGGAGGATCTTGGTTTAAGGCTGGCCTTGGGCAAAAAATACCTGAAAAATAACTAAAGTAAAAAAAAGGACTGGGGGCATGGCTCAAGTGGTAGTGTGCCTACTTAACAAGTGTAAGGCCTTGAGTTCAAAGTCCCCAATCCCAGTCCAAGAAAAAAGGAGTTTTCAAGAGTAATTTTTTTTTTTTTTTTGCAGTACTGGGGTTTGAACTCAGGGCCTCCACCTTGAGCCTCTTCACCAGCCCTTTTTTTGTGATGGGTTTTTTCGAGATAGGGTCTCTTGAACTATTTGCCAAGGCTGGCTTTGAACCGTGATCCTCCTGATCTCTGCCGCTTAAGTAGCTGGGATTACAGGCATGAGCCACCAGCGCCTGGCTAAAGAGTCATTTGATTTGTGGACCCTACAGCTCCTCTTCCCCACGATAAGACTTCAGTGAACATCCACAGTAAAACAAACCAAAAGAGGCTGATGCTAGGCTGGGTGCTGGCGCTCAGGCCTGTAATCCTAGCTACTCAGGACACAGAGATCAGGATGCTACAGGTTCAAACCCAGCCCAGGAAAATAGTCTGTGAGACTCTATCTCAAAAAAAAATCCATAAAAAAAAAGAAAAAAAGGACTGGTGGAGCGGCTCAAGGTGTAGGTCCCTGAGTTCAAGTCCCAGTACCGCAAAAAAAAAAAAAAAAAAAAAAGGGCAAAAGAATAAATGGGCTAATGGCTGGATGGAGATTTTGTTGGGTGTAGATTTTGTTGGACGCAGGCTGCAGGGAGGGCATGGGGCCACTGCTGTACTTCCTAGGGCTAAGGGAGGCCTACCTAGGTAAGCCACACGCTGCTGCAGGTTGGATGACAGCTGGGCCAACTCTTCTTTCAGGGAGTCATGTTTAATAGGCATTTGGGCCATGTGGCCCATGGAGTACTGGACAGCCTTCTTCTTCTCCTCAGAGCTCTCGGCTCGACGGGCAGCCAGCATGGCCTGAGACATGGCACTGGGCATGACGGGAAAGGTGAATTGTGGGGGTATTGTTTCATGGTCTCCCAGCAAGTCTTCCATTTCTTCACTGACATCCTCGAATGCCATGGTGCTGGTGGCCTCACGGGAAGACTCTGTACCCAGAACATCTGCAAAGACCCCTAAGGGCCCGAATGAGGCCATTGTGGATGCTAAGGAAGCCATTTTAGTGGCAGGGGCGTCCTTGACTGCCTCAGCAGCGGCCTGGGCAGCCCGAGCTGCTCGGATGGCGGCAGCTGCATAGGCGGCAGCAGCTGCCGCAGCCGCAGCAACCGTGGTGGCGGTTTTCACCCGCTGCTGGGCAGGCCGGACACGCTTTGGCCGTGCTTCTTGGGCCTCGTCCCCTGGGACTCCATCCTGAGAGACTCCCACAGAGCCGGTGTAATATTCATCTTGCTTTTCTGTGAGAGTTGGGAGCCGGTGGACCTCTCTCTTGAGGGCCTGGTGTGGCATCAGTGGACTAGGCCATGAGGACCCAATCTCCCTAGCCGGGGGTGGGGCGCTGAAGAGCTGGCCCTGAGGGGAGGCCGATGGACCCTGGGCATGCTGGAATAAGTCCAAGAACGGCCAAGTAACCACATGAGGCAAGCCTGTGGGTCCAGACCAGCCTCCTGGTGGTAAGGGCCAAGTGCCTGGGGCAGTTCCAGGTGCTGGCATGAAACCAGGTGTCACACCAGGTCCCAGTGCAGGCATGGACTCAGCTTCCGGCCCTGGCACAGGCCCTGCCCCAGGCATGAAGGTCTGAAGCTGGCCTGGCCCTTGGGCACTGTCCAGTGAAACTGCCTGTGCAGCCTCCTCCTCCTCCTCCGATAAGGCCTCATACTGCCCAGAAGTCTGCTCTTGGATGGAGTCTGAGACCTGAGTGTGGCTTCTATCCTCCAGGTCCTGGCTCTGGTCCTCCTCTGGGACCTCCTCCGGGAGCTGCTCTGTGGTCTGCCATGTCTTGGTCAGCTCCTTCTCCAGTGAAGCACCTCCCTGTTGAAGAGAGGGCTGAGGAGGCTAGGCTGGCCTACCTGCCCCCCAGCTCTGCTCCTCCTCTACTCACCAGGCTTGAACATGGCCTCATGGAGGCTACTCCAGAGCACCACATCCTCAGAATTGGGGATGGTGCAAGTCTTTTTCTGGAGATGAGCCTGTGCAGCAGGGTGAGGAAAACTGGCGTGAGCCTGCGGTACATGATGTCATACACATGGCTTTCCCGAGGCTTACTACCAACACTGCCCTCCACACTTACAAAGAAACCTTTCCAGGCTGTGTTCTTCTTCCCATTCCTCCCAACCCCCAGCTCCAGGCCCCCAGCAGCCAGGGGACAGAGACAGGCCCCACAGTCTCACCACTTCTTGCTGCAGTGTACTAATCTTCTGATTCTGTATTTTCAAGTTTTCAGACAAGTGATCCGTTTTTTCTGGGTTTATCTGTCAAATGAGCCTAGTCTGTGGACTGGGGTTACAGGTTCTGGTCCCAGCCCTGTTGTTTCCCACAACACTAAGTGACTAACCTTGAGAAGAGAGAATGGAATGTCCCAGGAAAGGAAAAGGAAAACCCTGACAAAGGGTTCCACGGCAATTAAGTCTGAGAAATCATGGACTAAAAAGCACTCTATGTATATTTGTACTTGGGACTTCTCAAGACACTGTTTCTTGTACAGATTTGCCCATGGAGTCCTTTTGGCTCTGCTTCCTCACAGTGCCCTTTCTGCTCAGATGGGAGTGGACCCAGCACCAAGACTGAAGTTCAAAGGTATACATTGGCCTGTCAATTGGGGTGATTCACTAAATCACATAATTTGGGGCAAGTGGCTGAACCTCTGCTACAAAGCTGGCCTTGAGCTGTGGAGACCTGAATTCCAATGCCAACTTGGACCTATCGCTGTGGACTGGGGGCAGCTGCTTCAGCCCTCTGCGTCCCCCATGTTATGATAGGCTGCTAGAATATGTTTAGATTGGTGGCTTGAAGCTGCAGATGGACTTAGGATGTATGACCGTGTTAGGTTAATCTCACTTTTTAGTGTGGACAGATCTTTCTACAAGAGGAAAAGTTGCTCTCTTTCTGCTAAGGTGGTGGAATGGAAGCCTGGAGTTACCAAGAGTTAGGGAGGACCTGCCTGAGTTGAAGCAACCCAGAAGGTGTCACTGATAAAGAGGCTGATGTTGTGTGAGTACCTAGAGCAAACTGCACCTGAAGTTACCCCTGGACTTTTTAGTAAATGAGACAATAAATTCTATTGTTTTTCCTAAGCCAAGATGAAACTGTGTTTCTGCCACTTATAAATAGCACAGCGGAATGAAGAACATGAAGGGGTCGCACTGAGCTCAGTGGGTCCGGCCAGGTGGCCGTGCCAGGCTAACCCCTTCTCCTCCCCTCATGGCTGTACCCTTGACTAAGAACAAGCTTCCTAGATTTTCCTTATTGCCCCAACCACCATTGACCATCATGGTGCGTGTGGGGGATGTGGGGGAGGGGACTACCTTCTCAAATATATCCTTCAGTAGATCCACATCCTTCTTGAGTGTTTCAATGGTGACTTTGAGCTGGTGAAGGTCAGTGAGTAAATCTTGCAGGGTCTGCATGGACTGAAGAAGGGGAAGAACTGTGAAGATGGGTGTGGCTAGAATATAAGGTAAGATATAGAAGCTTTCTGGTGACAGTCATGGTCCCCAGAGGTCCTCTTGGCTCTCCTAAGCCTAAGCTGAAGGTACTGAGAGACCAGCAAAGAATAACCAGCAAAGAATACTCAAGACAGCAATGCTCTGAGCCCCAGGTGGCCTGGGTGGGAAAGACATAACTCTGTGTTTGAATACACCTAGTAACCAGTGGTTGCTCATCACGGAACACACTGTCTCAGTGTGATGCAGGTCAACCAGGACCTCTCCTGAAGGAGGCAGCACAGCCCATCCCTGGAGGATCAGAAGCAAAGGAGACATGACTGGATCTATATTTGTTTTGTTTTTTGGCAGCACTAGGGTTTTAACTCAGGGCCTCATGCTTGCTAAGCAGGCACTCTTACCGCTCGATCCATTCCACCAATTTCTGGATTTACATTTTTAAAAGATCCCTCTGAACTGGGCACTGGTGGCTCACGCCTGTAATCCAAGCTACTCAGGAAGCAGAGATCGGGAGGATCACAGTTTAAAGCCGGCTGGAGCAAATAGTTCATGAGACCCTGTCTTGAAAGAAGCCAATACGAAACAGAACTAGTGGAGAGGCTAAAACGATAGAGTGCCTGCCTAGCAAGCATGAGGCCCTTAGTTCAAACCCCAGTACTGTCAAATAAATAAATAAATAAAATGGACGGAACTGAAAAGAGAGACAGAAAACTAACAAAAATTCCAAAAGACTTTAATCCCTCATTTTTCTTTGTTTTTTTGTTGGCAGTCTTGGAGTTTGAACTCATGGCCTCACACTTGCAAGGCAGGTGCTCTACCACTTGAACCATTCTGCCAGCCCTGTTTTGTGATGGGTATTTTTGAGATAGGGTCTCATGAACTATTTGCCCTGACTGGCTTTGAACCTCGATCCTCCTGATCTCTGCCTCCTGAGTAGCTGGGATTACAGGTGTGAGCCACCAGCACCTGGCTGTGTTGTGCTTTCATTTCAATTCATGTCAAAGTATTCTCTAGTTTCCTCTGTGATGGAGATGTTATTGAGGAGAACCTTAGTTTTCATAACTTGTGAATTTCCAATAGTTTCTTCTGTTGATTTCTAATTTAATTCCACTGTGGTAAAACTGTATATTTTGCATGACTTCAGTCTTTTTAAAATTTTTGCCATATAATCCACCTTGGAGGGTATTCTGTGTGTATTTGAGAAGAATGTGTATTTCGCCATGGTGGAGGTGTTCTATAGGGATCTGTCAAGTCCGGTTGGTATATAGTGTTGTTCAGGTCTTCTGTTTCCTGGCTGATTGTCTGGCACCCAGCATAATACCCTATTTTCAATAATAGGTACCAGCACCCAGCATAATACCCTATTTTCACACAGAAAAAAAGGGCTGGTGGAGTGGCTCAAGGCATACATCCTGAGGGGAAGGGAAGGGAAGGGAAGGGGAGGGGAGGGGAGGGGAGGGAAGGAAAGAACACACCAAAACTTATGGGATGCAGGCAGAGTGGTGTTGGTGGCTATGTCATCAAAAAGATCTCAGATCAGATCAGTAGCCTAAACTTCCTTTTGTGTGTGTGTGTGGTACAGTAGTTTGAATTTAGGGCCTGTGATATCTAGGCAGTCTTCAGTTACACCCCCAGACCTAACTATCCATCTTAAGACACTGGAAAAAAGAAGGGCAAACTAAACCCAAAGCAAAGAGAAGTAAGGGGCCCAGTGCCCTGTGGCTCATGGCTGTAATCCTAGCTACATGGGAGGCTGAGGTCAGGTGGATCAAGGTTTGAGGCTAGCCCAGGCAAATAGTTCTCAAAATCCCATCTCCAAAATAACCAGGGCAAAATGGACTGCATTCAGTAGCTGAGGCAAGAGGATATCGAGTTTGAGACTAGCCTAGGTTACACAGTGTGAGGGACGGGGGGGGCATGGTGGTGCATACCTGTAATCCCAGCTACTTGGCAGGTGGAGATTGGGAGGATCATGGTTCAAGGTCAGCATGATCCCAGTTATAGCAGGAGGTGTAAATAACCAAAGCAAAAAGAACTGGGGACGTGATTCAAATGGTAGAACACCTGCGTAACAGGACCCTGAGTTTAAATCCCAGTACCAAAAAAAAGGGAGTGGGATACTAGCAACAGTCCCTCCCAGGGAAAAATGAAGATGTAAAAGGACTTTGGAGCACTCAGGGAAGGTGACATTGACATTCAGAGTTCTTATTACTATTATGACAATAACTTCTGCCGTGATTATCTAAAACTCAAGTGTCAGCAGGGCGCCTGTGGCTCTTGAGTGTAATCCTAGCTGCTCAGGAAGCAGAGATCAGGAGGATCAAGGTTTGACACCAGCCTGGGCAAACAGATTGCGAGACGCTATCTAAAATAAAAAAAAACCATCACAAAGAAGGGCTGGTGGAGTGGCTCAAGTGGTAGAGCGCCTGCCTAGCAAGTGTGGTCAGGCACTGAGATCAAACCCCAGTGTTAGCCAATAAAATAAAACCTGAGTGTCTTCAACACTTTTAAGCAATGTAAGAAAATGCTAAAAAAATGTTAATGTAAAGTCTTAATTTGTGTGATATACAGAAAGTGCTGTTTTGGTTGTTGCTGGAGTAGTATGAGTAGGGAGTATTGAAATCAAAGAGCAACAGCTTGTTAAAATCTTCTACATCCAGAACAATTTTATGGAGACAGGTGGACAGAACAATCTTAATAAGAGACAGCTGGCATCATCCTTCATTTTCTCCTGTGATGCTGGCTGACAGGGTTATCATTACAGATGAGAAAATCCAGCTTTCCAGGGAGATGTGGAATCTAGGAGTGGGAGGGGTCTGGGAATCTGCAATTCTGGAAAATCTCACCAGGGGGAGCTAGTGCACAGGCAGACATGGGAAGAGCCAGGTAGGTCCAAGTCAGGCTGGACGTTGTAGTACAGGTGACTACATGTAGTCAGGATGACAATGATGGGAGCCCAAGTTTGTTTTTCTTACGGTACTGGGGTCTGAATTCAGGGCCTCACACTTGCCAAGTAGGCACTCTACCGCTTTAGCTATTCCACCAGCTCTCTTTTTCTTTTTCTTTTCTCTTCTTTCTCTTTCTCTTTTTCTTCCTTCCTTCCTTCCTTTCTTTTTCTTTCTTTCTTTCTCTTTCTCTTTCCCTTTCTTTCTCTTCTTCCTCCTCCTCCTCCTTCTCCTTCCTCTTTGTCTTAGTCAGTCTCTCTGTTTGTCTGTTGTCTCTCTCTCTCTTGTTTTTTAATTATTTTGCAGGTAGGGTCTCTTGTTTTCTTATTCAGTGCAGGCATCAGACAGCAATACCCCTACTTATCACTTCCCTCCTACCTGGGGAGACAGGCAAATGCAACCATACCCAGTTTATCAATAACTCTTTGCCTGGGCTGGCCTTAAGCCCCTATTCTGATTTCTGCCTCTCAAGTAACTGGGATTAGCCACAGTGCTCAGCTTTTTTTTTTTTATGTTATATTTCTTTTCCTCCACTGTTCATTTTTTTATTATGCAGCACTGGGTTTGAACTCAGGGTTTCACGCTTGCTAGGCAGGTGTTCTTCCCACTTGAGCCATTCCACCAGCCCTCTCAGCTTTTTTTTGAGACAGGGTGTTGCTATGTAGCATAGGCTGGCCTTGAACTCCTGCCTTATCCTCCTGAGTGCTGAGATTGCAGTGTGCACCACTATGCCTGGCACAGCCCAGGTCTTCCAACCCAGAGGTCCTTACTTGGGGGCAGTAGGCATCTGCTAATGTCTGGAGACATTTTCAGTTTGCACAAGTAAGTGGTACTTCTAGTATCCATTGGGTATGGGTCGGGATGCTACTCAACATCCCGTAATGCACAGGACAATCCTGAGCCACAAAGAATTGTCTGACCCAAACTATCAATAGTGCTGAGGTGGAAAATTCCTGCAATCTAACCCTGATTAATCATGACTTGTTGTGGGCATAAGCCCCCAAATCCAGTGTAGTCCTGACACCAGCCCCTGGGCCACACCTGTGGCCTCTTGCTCCCCAAGGAGCAGAAGTCCCCTTGGTGTCTGCCCTAGTTTCCAAGGCACCATTTGCCTGTCTGGGGTGGGTGCTGAGGCCACCAGGCTTCTGAGTCTTCACCCTTGGCTTATATCCCTTGAGGGATGCCCAATAAGGATGGCAGAAAACACTAACCCAGCCAGCCCAGAAAAGGGGTTTGGGGTACACTTCAGGTGCTCATCAGCATCAATGTGGCATTTGGTCTGCCAACCTCACTGACTGGTGGGTGCAGACACTTAAACAGCTTTTGCTGTTCTAGCACCAGCTACCATGGTAACTCACTTCAGTGGGTCATTTGTGGTGTGATAACTCTGGGCAACCTCAATCAGACTGGGACCAAGCACCACTCTATAGGCAGGGACATTGCTTATCTGCACAAACAGTCCTCTGAGGGTTGCAGAGTCAGGTCTGAACCTGTCCACCAGCCTTCTCGTGAGTTGGGCGGGTGCTCAGGGCACTTGAGAATTCTATAAACCTTTATCCACCCAAGCAGACCAGGAGGCAGGCTGCCCCAAGGGACAAGCACTTGGTACATTTGTGTCTACCTGTCCAGCCCTTGAGACCCTCAGCCTCCTCTTGCTGACTTGTCTGCAGCAGCACTGTCTGTCTTGTCATGCAGCTCTATTCTGTTCCTGAGTACATGGAATATCTTTTTCTGTATTTTTGCTTTCAACTTCTTTGTGTCTTTGAATCTAAAGTGTATCTCTTGTGGACAGCATAAAGTTAGATCATGAGTTATTTATTCCATTCTGCCAATCTTTGCTTTTTGTGAAGTAAAACACATGTAACAATAGTAAAGCATAAGATTCCATGGCATTTAGTATAACAAAGGTGTGCAGCCATCATCACTATTCAGTTTTAAGACATTTCATTGCCCCGAAAGAAAATCCTGTCTGCGCTAGCAGTTCCTCCCCACTGCCTTCTTTCTAAGAAACCACTAATCTACTTTCTGCTTCGACAGATTTGCCGCTCCTGGGCATTTCATATACATAGATTATCATGACTTGTGGTCCTCAGTGCCCAGCTTCTTTCACATGGCATGATGTCTTACAGTTCCTTCCTGCATTGCTTTGCCTCTCTGCCTTGGCCAGTCTGGACTCCTGTTCCCTCACCTTCCCCGCTCCCCCCAACTCAGGCTCCAGGGTTCCATCATCTGATTAGTGAGATTGCCACCTTCTGGCCCTGTTTCTCTGCTCAGGCAGAATGTCTGGATAATGATAATAGCAAGCACAGTTCAGGCACCCAGCATGTGCTGAGCACTTCTTGCCTACTGTATCACTCAGTGTGAATTCTAGCTCCAATCATGTGAGAAGAAAGTCATCATGGACCATTTTCATACCCTACCCTTTCCTGTTGGCTAAAGGTTGGGCTTTCTCGCTGCCCACGAACCCATGCCATCTGCCTGCCCAGTCTGCCTGGGTTTTTACTGGCTTCCCTGTTTTCTAACACTGTGAACTTCAAGTGGGTTACTTAACTTCTTTGTGTCTGTGTTTCCTCATCTGTCAAATTACTTTTTTTTTTAGTACTGGGGTTTGAACTCAGGACCTCATGCTTAGTTAGGCAGGTGCTCTACCGCTTGAGCCACTCCACCAGACTTGTCATCTGAAAACTCAGATTAAAGGCACATGCCTTGTTGAGTTTCCACAAGGCTTAAAGGAGCTAACAGATGCAAGGAATTTAGGCAGCAAAAGGGAAGGTATGGTGAAGAGATGGGGGCATGAAGCCCACGAGAGTCAGATGGAGCAGAGACGATGCTCAGTCCTTGGCAGCTTTCTGTGTTTTCTCAATCACCTCTACAAATACATGCACCAGTTTTCACTTCCTCAGAGCCAGGGTCAGAGCTGGCAGCCCCTGTGTGGTCAGTGTCCTTGGGACACCTACCCAGTCCAGGTCCCTCTCTTCTGAGACTTGCCAGTGGTCCCCTGGAATTCTTAGGCATGACCCTGCTTCCACATGTGGATGGGAAGGCCCCTCTCTGAGTTTAGAGTGAGAATGTGAGAGGCTGGTCTTCCAATGGACCCAGCCTCGATTGGTGACAATTCTTCCTTTCTGGCCTAGGACACTTTTTTTTTTTTTTTGCTAGGCAGGCACTCTACCACTTGAGCCACTCTGCCAGCCCTACTTTGTGATGAGTATTTTAGAGATAGAACTATTTGCCCCAGCTGGCTTTGAAGCATGATTCTACTGATCTCTGCCTCCTGAGTAGCTGGGATTAGAGACATGAGTCACTGCTGCCTGGCCTGGCCTGGGACTTTTTAACCAGGACCCAGACTATAGTCTTGGCCTCAGACTATAATGGACAGTGGAGACGAGGGTGAGTGACTCTGGAAACTTGCCCTGTATGGGTACCCCCCTTTGAATATTTGGCTGACAGATGACAATGGGGACCTTGGAAGGAGTAATCTCCACTGGACCTAGCCCTTAGTCTGACTGTGCTCTCAGTCCTGACACCCCAAGGACGCTGGCAAATTTCACGATCTTTCCCCTACTTGTCAGCCCAAACTCCTTATTTGCTGTGTGCTTTCCAGGGGCTAGGTGATTTACTCCCTGCAAATATTTACTTAGCCCTGGCCAGGTGTCAAGAACCCTTTACTTTCTTCACCCCACACAGCAGGTCAGGAACGCAGTGTTACTATGACCTCTACTTTATACTCAAGAAAACAGACAAGTCCAGTTGTTCAAGGGCACAAAACTCAAAAAGGGTGGCACCAAGGGTGGCACTGATGTCTCACGCCTATAATCTTGGCTACTTGGGAAGCTGAGATCAGGAGGATCACAGTTCAGGACCACCAGGACAAATAATTTGTGAGGCCCATCTCCACAATAACCAGAGAAAAATGGACAAGAGGTTTGGTTTGAGCACATGATTTGCAAGTGGGAAGCCCTGAGTTCAAACCCTAGTCCTACCCCAAAAAAGGGTGGTTGTACTCCTTGTCAGTTCTTTTGGTTATATATCCAGGAGTGGAATTGCTGGCTCACAGGGTGACTGTCCACTTAACCCTACAAGGAAGTGCCAGAGATACTTCCAGAGAAATTGTCCCATTTCCTATTCCCTCCACAGTGTCTGAGTGTTCCCACTGCTCCCTCTCCTTATCAATAATACTTGTTTATTTTTTCCCCTTTTTGGATGGTGATAGGGATGGAACTCAGGGCCTTGCACATGCTAGGCAAGCACTCTAACCACTCAGCTTCAGCCCTTGCACTTGGCTTTTTGAGACAGGATCTCACTATGAAACCAGGCTGGCCTCAAACTTGAGATCCTTCTGCCTCAACATCATGAGTGCTGGGATTATAGATGTGTACCACCATACCCAGCTGTTTTCCCTTTCTTATTACCTCTTAGGTTGGCTATTTATCAACCAACTACATGGTAGGCAGGGAGGCAGGGGAGCACAGCACTCCAAGGTGGGGTCTTGAATCAGAGGACCCAGCTCAACCCCCCAGTTCTGCCTGTCTCTGGCTGTTGGTCCTCCAGCAAATTAATGAGCATTTTAGGGGGTCAGTTTCCTCACTCATAGAATAGGGGTGATGCACCTTCCTCCACATGGCTACTTCTCATAGACTTTTATTCACTTGCTCTGCTGGTCTCCCTGGCTAGGCTCCCGGTTGCCATGACTACCATGGTGCCTCTCTTGTGGTAGGCCTCATTTTTTTTTTTTAATCAAAGTGAGAGTCACATAACATACAATTGAACTCCCCCCCTCCCCGGGACTGGGGTTTGAACTCAGGGCCTACGCCTTGAGTCACTCTGCCAGCCCTTTTTTTTGTGATGGGTTTTTTTTGAGATAGGGTCTCAAGAGTTATTTGCCAGGGCTGGCTTTGAACCACGATTTTCATGATCTCTGCCCCTAGAGCAGCTAGGATTACAAGTGTGAGCCACCAGTGCCTGGCTGGACTTTTTTTTTGTGGTACTGGGACTTGAACTCAGGACCTCACACTTGCTAAGCAGTTGCTCTACCACTTGAGCCATCTGCCAGCCCATAACTGTACATTTTATTTTTTATTCATACGTGTATACATTGTTTGAGCCACCTCTCCCCCTGCACCCCGTCCCCCTTCCTCTCTACCCCACCTCCATCTCTTCCAGGCAGAATCTGTTCCGCCCTCTTCTAACTGGACATTTTCAAGTCAATGATTCAGTGGGATTTAGTATATCAAAAACTTACACACCTATTACCATTATCTAGTTCCAAAATGTTTTCATCACCCCAAAAGGAAATCCTACACCCACTCAGCAGTCACCCCTCATTTCCTCCTCCCGCTGGCCCCAGAAATCACCAGTGTGCCTTCTGGGTCTATGCATTTCCTGTTCTGTATATTTCATATAAATAGGATCACACAATATGTGTCCTATTGTGTCTGGCTTCTTTCCACAACACGTGAGTTGTAGTTCTGCCTGACTCCAAGACCCCACTCTCTCGCCTCTGGAAAGGGACATCTCATCATGAAAGAAGAGGGACAAGATGCTCGGGTGAGGGCAGGTTGGAGTGGTACCTTTTCCATGGCTTCCTCATGGCCCTCCACCATCTTCCGGAGCTTGATCAGGTTCCACAGGTCCTGGGCAGGCCGGTTGGTCCCCTGGCTGCCTTCCACCAGCTGGGTGGTGGAGGGCAGGTCTTTGACGATGGTCAGCTGACTCTCTATCTTGTCCACACGGCTCACCAAGTGGTCGAAGATGTTGCTGAGTCGTTTCATGGGGTTAAGGACGGGCTGGGCGTCTCCTTCCCTGGGGACGAGTACAACCTGTGAGGTCTGGAGGAAGTCTTCATCCCCGGAGAGGACCTTCTTGAGTTCAGACATGTGGATGTGCTCCAGGATGCCCTGGAGCAGGAGGTGCAGGGCCTTGAAATTCACCACTCCACACTGTGGTATGGCAATGTTGACCAGCTCGGTGAATGTGAGTGAAAAGCTCATCTTGCCAGAGCGTGGGTTGGGGGTACAGAGGTTCTGGGAGTCCTTGGGAATATGTGGCTTTCAGTGGTCCAAACTGCTGCACAGGCAGGTCTGCAGAGGCTGGGAAGATGGTGAGCCACAGCAGTCAGGGAGGAATGGCCTGTGTCTCGGCCAGAGCTCGGATCAGAGTTTCTGGTTGCTAGGACACCAGAGAATGTGGTCAAGTAGGCAAGCTTCCGAGAGCCTAGAGTGGGACTGGTGATCCCAGGCAAGCCTTATCCAGAATAGGGGCTCAATTAATATTTGATGAATGTTTAACAGTGACCAGGCAGCTTCTTCATTCAAGCCCTCTGATTATGTAAGGCTGATGACCCTTTCCAAGTGTTCGTAGGGAAGTGATGGAGAGGCAGCTCGCTCCTCAGAAGTCTCTAGGATCTAGAAGAGAGATTTCTTGGAGTCAGGAAGGCCCAGGTTTTAAGAAAAGAGAATAGAGAGAAAAGAGTCTGAAGAACTAAGCTAGTTTCTGGACATGGACAAACATACCCTCTCCCCTCACAGGTGCTCTAGTTTCTGGAGGGCAAGGGCAAGAAGGTGAGGACAGCATCATTTGTTTTGAGTCCTCAGTGTTCCTGTTTGCCCAGGTGACAGAGCCAGTGCTGAGCCTGCTCTGCTCCCCAGGTGAGTTAGGGCTGAGACTCTAGTTCTCCAGAGCACAGTCTCAGTCCTGAGAATTTAAGGATAAGACCATGAGCCAGTCACTGCTGGGCCAAGAGGTCCTGCTATTGTCAGGTTCTGCTTGGTCAGTTGGGGGAAAGAACAACAGCCTTGCTGGGCACTGGTGGCTCACGCCTGTAATCCTAACTACTCAGGAGGCAGAGTTCAGGAGGATAGCGGCTCAAAGCCAACCCTGGGCAAATAGTTCACGAGACCCTACAAAAAACCCATCCCAAAAAAGGGCTGGTGAAGTGGCTCAAAGTTAAGGTCCTGAGTTCAAATGCCAGTACTGAAAGAAAAAAAAAAAGAAGAAGAAGAAAAGAATAACAACCTGCTAGTCCCAGTTTCCTAGGGAAGTCTGCAGGGAACACCCCTGACTTAACACCTGGAGCCCTGACTCCTGGCTTACGCCGTGTTGCCATTCCTGGCATACAGCAAGCACCTGGCTCAGGATTTCCACTGGTAAAGGGCAATTTCACCTGACTTGTCCATAGAAAAGGTGGAAATCAGTGATCCCTTCCCCTCCAAACCACCAATTGTGAAGCCAGATCCTATAAAAAGACTTTCTACTGTAAGTAGAGAATTTTAAGAGAAGAGGATGTAGAGAAGAACTGAACTAAACTGGGATGTAGACATGACCAAATGTACCCCTGTATTAGTTAGGGTTCTCCTAGGACACATTGATATGGATATATGAAAGGGAATTTGTTAGGGGAATTGATTCATGCAATTACAGAGGCTGAGAAGTCCCACGATAGGCTGTCTGCAACCTGGAGACCCTGGGATGTCGGTAGTGTGACTCAGGTCAAGTCCAAAGACCGAAGAACCAGGAAGCTGATGGTGTAACTCTCAGTGTGAGGCCAAAGGCCAGAGATCCTCGGGTGGGAAGGGCTCCACAGATACAAATCCTGGCGTCCAATGCAGGAGAGGCTGGAGGGCTGGCATTCAAGGCAAATGTACCTCAGCTCCTGGAGACAGACAGACACATTCACCTCTTTTCTGCTTTTGTCCTCTCTAGGCTCCCAGCTGACTGTGTGCTGTCCACCCCCACTGAGGGCAGGTCTCCCCAACCCAGTGTGCTCAAACTCACATGTCAATCTCTGGAAACACTTTCACAGTCATGCCCCCAAAACAATGCTTTACCAGCTTTCTAGGCATTCCTTAATCCAGTCAAGTGACACCTAAAATAAATCATCACACTCTAAAATATCTCTTGGTTTCCCATTGTGTTGTAAGATTTAAAAATCCAAGTGATGCCTTGACATCTTTGGGCCACACAGGGCCCCAGAATTCCCCTGTCTTTGACAGATGTGTCTCCTCCACTGGGAAAGGTGCCTGCTCAGCTAGTTCCTCAGTCAGTCAGAGTGGCTGCTTCTACCTGGTCCTTGCCTTTTGGACTTTACCTCTCTGTGAGTCATCAAGATAGGGGCTCATGAAATACCTGCACAGGCTGCATTCAAACCATGATCTTCCTGATCTTTGCCTCCTGAGTATTTGGGATTACAGGTGTGAGCCACTGGTGCCCAGCTAAATGAGGTCTTTTTAGATGATAGTGGGTGTTGTGAAGAGTATGAAATGGACCAGGACGATAGCTTTGGGGCAGGCATTCAGGGAGGTCCCTGTAGAGGTGACATCTGAACTTAAAGGAGGGTGTTCCTGGAGCTCCTTCAGGGCAGAGACCATTTTCTTGATTCTTTTTGCAGAACCAGAACCCAGAGCCCAGTGCTTAGTAGTGCTCGATAAATGTTTCTATACAAATAAGTCCAAAGGAGGTATCAACTCTCATGGTCCATATTAATGATAGAAATGTTTAAGTTTTAAGTGTTAAGCTAAGTGCCAGTGGCTCACATCTGTAATCCTAGCTACTCAGGAGGCAGAGATGAGGATGCTCCTGGTTCCAAGCCAACCCCGAGCAAATAGTTTGGGAGACCCTATCTTGAAAAAAACCCATCACAAAAAAGGTCTGGAGGAGTGGTTCAAGGTGTAGGCCCTGAGTTCAAACCCCAGTACCACAAAAAATAGTAATAATAAATGCTAACATTTTGATCATTCACTTTTCTGTTGGAATCATTTAGCATTTAAATTTGAAAATGTGGAAATACCAAGGGTTGGCAAGTGTATGGACGGCAGAACCATCATATGCTCTGGTGGACTGGAAATTGGTAGAAGTTCCCTGGAAAACTTTTTGGCAGGGCCTACAAAGTGGAACAGATCCACCCACCATGTGACCTACCTAGTCTCTGCACCCAGAGGTGCAGAGGGCACCCAACATAAATATTCACATACAGTGTACTAGGGTATTGATGACAGCACTACTCATAAAAACCAACCATCCCACTCTAGGATTACACAGTTGCCCAGGAACAGCAAAACAAAGTGTGACATGTTCTCACATGGTCCATCAGACAGCAATGTGAGTGAGCACCACCAACTACACACTACATGGATGACCTTTACACTATAGCCCTGGGCAGAAGAAGCATATTCAAACAAGTTCACATTGCAGGAATCCATTGCTGAAAAAAACCCACAAAGATGGAGAGACTACTCTTTGGCATCAGACATCAGGAGAGTAGGGACTGGGCATGGTGGTACCCATCTGTAATCCCAGCAGTTGGGAGGCTGAGGCAAGAGAATTGTGAATTTAAAGCCATTCTGGGCTACAGTGACACCCTATCTCAAAAAAAAAGAATGGGACAGAGATGAGAGAGAGAGGAGGGAGGGAGGAAGGAAGGAAGGAAGAAAGGAAGGAAGGAAAGAAGGAAGGAAGGAAAGAAGGAAGGAAGGAAAGAAGGGAGGAAAGAAGGGAGGGAGGGAGGGAGGGAGGAAGGATGGAAGGGAGGGAACGAGGGAGGAAGGAAGAAGAAAGGAAGGAAGGAAGGGAGGGACGGAAGCAGGGAGGGAAGAAAGGAAGAAAGGAAGGAAGGAAGGGAGGGAGGGAAGAAAGGAAGAAAGGAAGGAAGGAAGAAAAAAGGAAGGAAAGAAGGAAGGGAGGGAGGGAGGGAAGAAAGGAAGGAAGGAAGGAAGGAAGGGAGGGAGGGAAGAAAGGAAGAAAGGAAGGAAGGAAGGGAGGGAGGGAAGAAAGGAAGAAAGGAAGGAAGGGAGGGAGGGAGGGAAGAAAGGAAGGAAGGAAGGAAGGAAGAAAAAAGGAAGGAAGGAAGGAAGGGAGAGAGGAAGGATGGAAAGAAGGAAAGTCTGGAGAGTGGAGCCCCTGCAGGTTTGGAAGGGAAGCAGAGTTGCTGGAGTGCAGTCAGTCTGACCCCATAAGTGGACCCCAAAGGGGTTGCTGGCTCAACTCCAGCGGGCTCCTTCCCTATCTTATGGTGGATGTAAAGACAGCTTTTTGCAAAGAACTGGCCTGAGCATAATGGTGTCTCCTCCAGCTCCGGTGTGTGCTGACTCACACGCAGGCCGAGAAAGCAGCCTGAGTGGTGAAGTCTAGCACAGACCAGAATCCCAAGCCCTGGGGTCTACAAGGTGTTGGCATGCTCCCTAGCCCTTCTGTGTAGGTTTAGGAGTCAGAGGTAAACATTTCCGGGCTCTGTTGGCATGAAGGGAGTGTGTGTGCAAAGGTGCTTGGCTTGGCACCCAGCACTAAGTGCTCAAGTGATGTTAGCTGCAGTTCTTGAAATGAGCACACGATTTTGTTTGAGGCTTTTGAGCAAGGATGCATTGGCTTGATGGGGTGCAGGGGATGGAAGCAGAGAATTTGGAAGGGGAAGATACCCTCTCCTGACTTTTCAGTCTCTGTTTGAATGGGCAGAACTGCACTCAAAATAACCTTGAATCACTGGGGTTTTTGCATTACAAAAATCACCCACTGTACATTCCAATCAGCTCCAACATATAAGATAAGATAAAAAACCAGGCAAAACGAATATGTTCTTAGGAAGTTGGGGGCCGATGGCTCACGTCTGTAATCCTAGCTACTCAGGAGGCAGAGATCAGGAGGATGGTGGTTCAAAGCCAGCCCTATGTAAATAGTGTGTGAGACTCTATCTCAAAAATACTTAGCACAAAACAGAGCTGGTGGAGTGGCTCAAGTGATAGAGCACCTGCTTACCAAGTGTGAGGCCCCAAGTTCAATCTGCAGTGCCGCCCAAATAAACTCCAAACCCCACAAAAAAACAAGCGTGTTCTTAGAGACAGGGCTAGTGACTTCCCGGTGGGGTCCAGTGAGTGAAAGGGGCCACCAGGAGGCTATGAGTTCCGGGTGTGGAGGATGGTCACATTTTGCAACAGGGTCTTACAATATAGTCCAGGCTGGTCTCAAACTCCCAGTGCTCTTGTATCAGCCTCCCATGTGC